TTTGCGCTGTCTGTTTGTATATTTGGTTTTTGCTCACATAAATTTGTATTCGTCTTTTTGCAGAATATTCTGTATGTTATTGTTTTCTTCTTAGGCCGTCATTTCACCTCGGTTTTTAATTTATTACACCCGAATGAAGAGATTTCTCTCAAATATCACATTAAATTCATCGTCATTTTCGTTCAAATTCTTTTCTTTCTTTTGCTCATCAGTTTTATTGTTGTTCTTGTTGTTGTGTATTCGTTCTACTAATTTTTCATCATGAAATCCTCTCTCAAAATCCGTCATTGTAAACACTTTGAAATTAAATTTAGATTTTCTGTTGTGATCAAGCAAAATAGAGCGAGAAAAAAAGAGAGAAAGAGAGAAAAGTGATTTCTTGTGTGGCATGATAACAAATGACACTTTGAAATGACGCGCACACTCTCACGCACGCATAAAAAAAATCATATCGTATCCATCGCCAACAACAACTCAAAGAAATGCGTCTTGTTTACAATCACTTGTGTGAACATAAAAAAAGAGAAGCGAACATAACGCGAGCGAGGTGGTTAAAGAATGAGCGAGTGAGCTAGCGCTCATAAACGATACCATTTAATCGTTTTCGCTTAATTGAGACATGAGAGTTTTGTAATTTATTCGAATTTGTTATTTTTAGTGACGTACACATATTTTATATGGTATTTAATTGAGATTTATAATTTTGTTGTATCTCTTTTTTTGCTCCTCTTCTCGTATTTTTTTCTTATTCGTTTTACATTTTCTCTTTCTTTTTGTTCCGTTTCATGTTCTCCGTTTTGCTGATACAGAGCCACCTGATTGTTCGAGCATCGTGTGTGACCTAAAATGTCCAGCCGATAGTAAAGTAATTCGAATTGATAGTTATGATTCGATCATTTTACCGGTAAATGGATCCGAAACGCCAATACACGAGACAAACATATCGAAACAAAAACGTGCCATATTGACAAGACAACGTGAAACGATTAAAATTGTTCCCGCCGGTGATTATGTTCGACGTCGTCGTGATGTCATCAATGACACAATATCATCCCCATCATCATTAGCGTCCCAAAAGTGTTGCGAATGTAAATGTGATTTTTCCAAGTGCCCGGATCTCAAGTGCCCATCCAATGAATACAAAATTACCATTGCACCCGGTTCACAGGTGCCGGGCAGTTGTTGCACAAAATACCATTGTAGCAAAGAAAAACCAACATGCTATTCGGCTGCATTGAGACGACATTTTAATGCATTTGAACATTGGAATGAAGATTCATGCACACACTGTGAATGCACTGAAACTGGCGAAACAAATTGTATACAATCATCTTGTAAACCATTGAATTGTGCAAAGAAACAAGAAATCGAAGGTGAATGCTGTCCAGTTTGTGATCATAGTGATAGTAAATTTTGCGATACAGAGATTGATTGTGAACTTCATTGTCGTAATGGATATGAATTTGATCCGGTGCGTGATTGTGCCATTTGTACATGCGTGAAGACAATAACATCAACCATAAAGACAACAACCATTGCACTCGGTAAGAAACGTACGAAAATTTACTTTTTATTTAAAAGAGTTTTTGCAGCGAAAAGATTTTGTTTTGTAAAATGTCGATATTTGTCTTATTTTCAATTTTGAATCGTTTGATTGAAGTGTTAAGATATTTTTGAAGTTTTGAAACATTCGACTAACTTCCCCTGGAGAGTGTATTTAAAATAACACCTTTACAAATAACGTAGAAACAACATTTTTTCAAAAAAAAAAAAAAAAAAAAAAAAATCAAATCGCCAGGATTTTTACTTTCGATTTGCCACTTGTTTATTAATTAATTGTTTTATTTCACTTTATCGAATTTACCCAATGGTAATCATTTGCCCCATTTTCTACTTTTCCAGAAGATTTTTCAAACAACACAGTAGCAATTGTTCCAACAACGACAACAACCGTAAGCACTACGACGACCACAGCTAGCCCGACTACCACATCCAAATCATCGGATCGAATCACTGAGACCGTTACCGAATCAGATGTACAAACTGATAACAATAATTCGTCAACCAAACCATATATTGATGAGGATGAAAATTGGACATTTCATATGCCAATTGTGATGGGTATATGCATAACAATCGGAGCATTTTTAATAATCGTATCTCTGACGTGTCGACACATCAGCAACAACAAGGATAAGCATCATTTGAATCGCAAGCAAAACACTCCGTTAATATGATTTGACGAACAAAGAAAAAAGGAACACACGATCATTTCCAAATGGGTTGCCATTAGGAAGGCTCGATTTTTTTTCGATTTTTTTTCTGCGAATTTCTTTGAATTTCGACTTATAATCCATTTTATCAGGTTCAGGTGTAATTTTGTGATGTTTTGATTTTTCGACTGGGATACTCGCGACAGTACGTTTGGCAAACTCATTGCCATCGTGTGTCAACTATGAAAACTATGAAGAAAGCAAACAAAAAGAGATAGAGAGAGAGAAACAAAGTAGAAATGGAAAATAACAAGTGAAATAAAAACCGTTTGCCTGGCGGAATAGAAATACAAACAATTTGAAGAAAAAAGAGTCGAATTTTGATTTTGATTTAAGTCTAGTTATATAGGATTTCTAAATGTAGGAACTAGAAATTAAACACTAGAAATGAATATCAAACAAAATGCGCAAGCTCGCTCACGCGCATACATCAATTGTGGCCGAATTGAATGCTGATGCAAAAAAAATGGCCATTACTTGGCTAACTATCGTTCTCATTTCTCCATTTTGATCATTTTAAATTAATTAATATTTTAAACACGAAAAAATACATAAACTGCGATAGCTAATCAAGGTCACTTCACTTGCAGCGCATATATATATATATTATCTTTTTTTTCCATACTTTTCCGTCGCATCTGCGAATGGTATTAGTATTTTTCGTTCGTTTTTGCCAAGTTTCATACATTCAAAATGTTATTGCAACATAAAGTGGAATTTTCTATTTAAGACAAAGAAAAAGGGAAATAATTAAATTGAACACGCTGTTCGTTTGAAAGAAGAAAAAAAAATTACAAAAATTTTTACATTTAAGGCACCAAACTTTCAATCATATCCCATACGTTTCAATTTATTTTTCTTTAATCATCGCCTCCTTTTTTGTGATAATCATAATCATAAATCACCCGATGACCGATTACGATGGAAATATGAAAGTAGAGCAAATGCTTTGAGATTTTTTTTTGCTCTAATTTCAATCGATTTCATATGTGGTTTAAAAAAAAAACAATGTCAAACATTTCTTTTGAGAAAAAATCTTCACGAAATAGTTAAATTGGCCATTGCTTAATTTACACTTATTTTCCACACACTTGAATGAATAAACATTTTTTTATATTGCCGAATAAAAATACATTTTGCCAATTTTGATGGCAACATTTAGAGCAGAATGTCCAGATTGAAGCCGAATTTAACTTGCCCAGCATTGTTTGACCACATTTGTATCTTTACCTTCGTATTTTGCATCAAGTTTTTTTGTTTTGAAAAAAAAAAAAAATAACGATTTTAAATCAAATTTGTTCATAGAGCCGAATTCGATGCTCGATTGATCTATAACAATCATTCATGAGAGAAAGAGAGAGGGAGAGAGAGAAAGAGAGAGAGAGAGAATATATATCAAATAAAAAACCATATTTCTTTTATTTTTATTATTATTTTTTGTCTTTTCTTCGTTAAGTTGTTAGTTTTTATCATAAATTATATATTTTATTTGTAATTCGTATCATAATTATATATTTTTATTTTATGCAAATGTAATAATCATCTTGCCAATTGAAAAGTATTTTTGTATTATGATTTTTAATAAGGCATTATTTCAAAAACACAAAAAATACGAAAAATAATTCAAAAAATGTTTTGCTTGCGATGCACTCATTTACGGCTAATTTTTGCAATGAAACACAATCGAATCGAGCCGTTTGGCAATCGCACAACCTATATCCCCTCAAAAAAAAAATCTAATGATTGTCATACAATTACATTTAAAATATTTACAAATGGAAAGAAAACGAAAAGAAAAGAATGTTCTCTCGTCTGTATTATTTCATTTTTGCCCATTCATGCTTCTGCAAAAAAGAAATCCTTTAAACTTATAAATGGTCAAAATTGAACCAATTTTTTTTTATTTTTTTCCTTCAAGTTTTTAAGACGTTATACTTTATATACAAACATTTTCAAATGATAATTAACTAATTTTATTCAAGAAGATAAAATGCAAAAAAAAAATTTCAAATAAAAACAAACACAAAAATGTGAAAAATACGAAAATAATCGACTTTTTCTTAATTGTGATTTTCAGCATATTTTGTCCTTTTCAGCAGAAGATCTGAAGCCGAGAAACGCATCAATTCAAAAGTGAATACCTTAAAAAGGTCATAAAAGTGTGAGAGCACAACAAATAAAATGGCTTGATAGTATCTCGTATTTTTTTCTCTCGCCACAAATTGAATGTGTGGCTCACTCCAGGGGGGAATTGAACTATCTTCATAAAGTAACTTTGATGATATGGTAAGTATTTAACAGTCGTTTAAAAAGGATTACTTTCCAAATGGTTGGAATTAAAGATCGTGGAATTGTAATAAAGAATCGACAGTCCAGAACTCTTAAATTTATTACTTTATTCTTTTATTTTGTTATATTCAAAGTCCACTTCGAATATTGTTTACTTGTTAATTTTACAAATTGACTGATTTTGTCAACCGCTTGTTTATGCGTTCTCTGTTCGTCGTCGTTCTCTGTTTGCGGCGGTTTGTTCATTTACATGTGTGTGTGTGTGTTTTTTTAAAATGAAAACCGAACCACAAAAAAATTGCTTGAAAACGTGTCCAAATTGCAGAGAAAAACGCGATGAAAAAGTATGGACATTGAGACGCCACAAAACTTAGTGGATATGCATTGAAAACGGAGAAATAAAAATGGAAAAGCAAAATCGCTTACAAATGAAATAATTATTTTTTTTTTCTTTGTATACGCATTTCGTTGGGTTCCTTCACTCAAACGAGAATAAAAGCACAGAAGGTAAGAGAAGAATGTAATTTGGATTGTGGTATGTTTTTTTTTTCTTTCGCTATTTGGCGAGAAAACGGCGTCAGAGCAAAAAAAAATAATAATAATAAATTAAATGAATGGAGAGTGGTGTATGGTGCAAGTGCATGTGAATGCCAAAAAATCGAATAGCGTTTTTCGATTCTGTAAACTACAGCAAATTGCAAAATATAAATTTCCATGAGTCTTTCAATTTTCGTCGCTTTTTATTTCCTTTTTTTTTCAACGCGTGACTGAATTGTAGAGTGTAATTCGAACTGAATTTAATGATGATTCATGAATAAATTGAGACTTTAAAGCACCATCGTTTAATTTACATTGTATAGTATTCACTGTTGCACCGAATATGATTTCCAATTGAATTGCAGGCGAAACCTAGTTATAAATTACGTAAAAAGACTGTATCGCATCACAGCCATCTATTAAACATCGTCATTTTGCTTACCTGTTTATTTAGTCTCTCGATCTTTCTCGTCATGAATCAGCTCAAGGCTCAAGGCAAATTCAACCCAATGTCAACGAATTCGATATGCACATTATTATTAATAAAAAAGAACAAAATCGATCTGTAAAAATTGAAAGACGTGCACAAACAAAGTAACACACACTCCAGTTTTATGATAAAACTGTATTCAATTGCATCATCATCTTCATAGAAAATCGATTCAAATCGAATGAAATCATTGATTCTGTGTCATCACAATGTGATGTTTTTATTCAAAATATTTAGCAAGAGAAAGAATGAAATCAATAGAGAATATTCTGTTTATCTCGGTTTCATAAATAGATTTCAAAGCAATTAACGGCCAATTTGACCTTTATGAGCGTTTTGTGGTTTTATCACAACAAATCTCACTTTTACGACCAATAAATTAAGTTATTACAATCCTTTCGATGACACCGGGTCATGCCGTTTTTTTTTTGTTTTTGCTTTTTTTTATTACATATGTCTTCGTTTACTTTGTTCATTGATTTCTTAGGTTTTTTTTCTAAGAATGAAAATCGTTGATATTTTCAGCGAGTCGTTAATTCAAGCAACTGATTGTGATCCAAAAATAAGATGACATCAAGCATTTTTTTACGAGCTGAATTTATACACAGTTGATATTGCAAGTGACAGAGGAAAAAGAAATGAATAAACAAAAAGAAACTACGCGTGGCATTGTCATTCGAATTTTTAATCGCGCCAAGCCAAAACAAATATGTGTGACGTGTTCTGAGTAAATTATAAATGCGTTATCAAAAAAAAATTGCAATGTGGCTTAATTCAACATAGATAATTTGGCGTTTCCATGTGTTATCGTTTTCAAAGGTGACATTGTCACACAATTTTGAGCAAAATATTTTCTTCGTCGCATTTAAATACAGGTATTTAATTCTGGATTGCAATGCACATTTTTTTCTCACTTTTTCTGTTCAAATAATTACATAAGATCACATTTTTGCACCTCATTTGTTGATGATTTTTTTTTTAACCATTGAATGCGCTGCATGTCACCGTTACTCAAGATTAGTATCACATCAAAGTGCCGAAAATTACAACACTGTCAAAATGCACACAAACACATTTACATGTCAATTAATCATCTGATGTATTGTGTTTCACACGATTTTTGATTGACTGTAATTTGACATGAAATTGGCATTCCTTTGTGTTAGCTGTTTTGTTTGACAAAAAAAGTACATTTTGTTCATCAAAATTATTCAATATGGATTTCGTTCGAAATAAAATCTGATGATTTTCCATTCTCAGAAAGCAGAAAAACGATGTGAACAAAAACGAAGAGTCAATTCATTCAAGCAATTCGGTATCATTGATTTACTTTACATCAGTTTTATTGACTTTTTTTTGTGTTCAACTTAATTGTTCAAAATGTGGCGAATTGTTCATGCAATTTGCAACATATAATGTTAATTTTCACCATTTGCAAATTGAAATCGATCAAATTCAGATAAATAAGCCACTTTATGATATAACTAGAATTGTTATCGTTGTTAAACGAATTTCACACCATTTGATTTCATTCGCTCTCTCTCTCTTTCTCTCTCTGTATTTTTCTTAACTCATGCACATCAATTAATGAAAATAACAAAACGATTTATAAATGAATACTGTCACACTTGTGCATATGCCTAAGTGACATTGATTTGATACTTCGAATTGGTGATTGATTGATTAGAATATGTTACTGTTGTTATGAAAGACATTTTCGATATAACATAATTGAACATCAAATTTCTTTTTTTTTTTTTCATTTTCACTTTGAATCATTTTATTAAGTCACATTGAAAATTGTCTGTCTGCCCGATAAATGACAATGGTGCCACACATTTCAAATACATTTCAATAGAAATTAATCATGTTTCGATGAAAGTGTTTATTTCGACAGTACTGTGCAGCATCGAAATTGCGATGATATCACAGATGTACATTTTATCTTATGATATTGCTCTGCACTGGTGACTATTGACTCGCTGAATGCAGCTTCGAAACACGGTGATGACAAACTAATTTGTGTGTTTACGCTCAAAGTTTCGACACTTGCACACTTTCGTCCTTCGGACATTTTGCCCATGATATAATTTCAAACAGAGAGTTGGTCTAAGCAACGAAAAAAATTTCATGTCTTTGGAAAAAATGACCGAGGATTAAGGTTGCATATTGGATTATTGGATTAGATCGGGGAGTGTACTAGGTCTGCTATCCAGCATTATCCGTAGTTCCTCGTTGCTCAGGTCCAATAATCCAATAGGTTGCATATAGTTAATGCGATGAAATAGCTTTCAACTTTTTGTGCGGGAAGACGCTTCTACTAACGCTTAAGAGTTCTAACAGAATTACTCCTGCAATCAAAATTAACTCCCAAAATGAATCTACTAGTTAGATTTAGCGAACTAGAGCATTCCAGCCGTTTACACGTTTTGCTAGTTCAATTTATCCATTTAAAAGTTTTTTTTTATACAAAACAGTTACCTACGAACAGTTTACCTAATAATCAAAACGATTTTTCATTTCTGAAGATATTTTGCAAATACAAAGTAAATTTAATAGTGACAACTATTAATGTTTCGAACACGATTTCATCTCAACGAGAGACAAGATAAATTCTTGTTCTTTTTTTAAATCATTACAATACAACATTCTTAATATGCATATCGGCCATAATCTCATGAACAAGAGACAACCAAATAAAATGAGGCATCAAAACACTGCGCTTAATCTACTTCAATTTGTTTATGCCTAAAACAACATCAATCAGATTATATACGAAAACCAAACATAACATGACTTACTAAAGCGAAATAAAGCCGAAGGAGAAAATCTTTAAACTACACGTAAATCACAACGTTTAAATGTGTTTGTGTGTGTGTGTGTGTGTGGATATTTTCTATCAATTACTATCGCCAATTGAAATATATGGCCGTAATTTAAAATTATAGTCTTTTTAAGTGCATGCTCGTTGTTTTTATGTGGGTGGTGATTTTTTTTATCTTTAAAAAATGGATTTTCGTTCGCAACAACGGGCCACTAATGTTAAGGTCAATACTGTACCAAAGCATGCAATACTGTGCAAATCAAACAGGGTGGCCAAATGATAATGCACAGAAAAAGCAAAACGAGAAAAAAAATTAAATAATTGAACGTCAATTTTCTAATTTAACAACATCAAACCGGATCAGTTTGAAATGATGTAAGCACATCGCAAAATGATGACGATCATTCTTTCAAGGCATATAATTACGACCGAGAGAAGAAATACAATGCAAAAAGTACGCTGGACGAATCTTCCGATAAATATGCAAAACCGTGCGTGATGATGAATATGCAAAGAGAACCGAAAGCAATAACAACTCTTACCGAGTCTTGTTATACAATTTCGATTTGGGCCAAATGCAATCAGTATGTATTTATCGTAAAAATGCCGAAACGTTTCATTATATTCGTCGGCTGAGTCGCATCATGCAAATCGATAACTTTACCGTTGTTTTCCAAGTTTAAAAAAAAAACCGATCCGTTTTTTTTTATCTCAACCATTTAAATACTAAGCGAATGTTCCATCGAAAGTGTTCGGTTAGAAAAATTACAAATCATTTTCATCACATTAATTTTAATTGGAACGTTTCATCGAAAATGTGCAATACATTTCCATTCGATAAAATCAATACAAATTAAAATTCAATGAACCAATTGAATTGAATTTGATTTTATTGCATGTGTCGAGGCGTTGATTGAACCACCGATCACGATTCTATAGTGGATACTAGAAAATGGTGAAATCAATTTTTTTTTCTATCTTTGTATTCAATTGCGTTAGAAAGTGATTTTTTGCAACTGATTTTTGCAATTGATTCTTTTCCGAACTGATGAAGAATTGATTTAATAAAAATTGGTGGCTCCACAAAAAAAAGTTTCAATGTCGAACCAAGCAAAAATTTCGGTTGATCAGTTTCTAAGCAATGAAATTAGCAATGTTCGACAGTGACCATAAAAGACGATGTTACAAAGTTTTTGCGACAAAGTGATTCTCTCCTACGTCGTTTGACCGTTAGTTCACCGAGAACGGATGCTATTTAAAAACACTGTGTGCAAATAAAAAAAAAAACATGTTTTATTGTATACACTTCGTATTATTGCTAGCGTAACAATTTTGTTGATTGTCAAATGTTTGCGAATGGCGGCGAAGTGATTTGAATTTCAACAGATTAAGAGATTTAACTCTTTGTTCTTACTTACATGACTCTTCTCTTTGCTAAATTTGCATATCCAAATAATTGCAAATTGTCTTATGACACACGATACGGTGTGAAAATAAAAGATTTTGCAATAAATAAAGAAATCGGTCAATGCTCACCGATTTATGAAAACAACTCCGAAAATAGTAAAACCAAGTCATTAAATTGACTTTTCAACAAAAGCGATTCACCGATGAATCGACTGTATATGTCGGTGCGGCTGTAAAAATGGATGCAAAATTTAAATATTCAATTCACAGATACGAAACGTTTTAGTCACTAAGTGTCAATAATTGATTTTTACAATATTAGCGTTGTGTATATTCCGGATTTATTGCAAATCTGAAAAAATATGTGCGCAAACAAAAGAACAGCGATAACCTAATCAAACACAGACAGGCAGAATTGATCCTTAAGCTCTTTATATTTAATGGATAATGCAATTTATTGTTAGTCCATACTAATTTCTGATGTCTTTGAAAATGGATTACATTTTTGCGGATTTTTCAGAAATATTCTGGATTTTTAATTCGTTCCAAATGAAATTAAAAGCGATCGCTCTTCACTCTTTGTTTATTTTAAATGTATAGTTTTTATATTTTCATTTATTTTAATATTGAATTATTCATAAGATTTTACACATAATTTAATTCAGAGATATTCAGATTTTAAAATTTCGATAACCAAAAAAGTTAAAAGAAAATGTTGAAATACTTTTTTTTTTAAATACATTTGCTCTGTTGAAGTTCCGTTTTGCTTACAACAGATAGCTCTGTGTGCGGTTGAGAGAGAAATTACGATTCTACTTTATCAAACTGTATGATAACAGGTGCGGGAGGATGATACATAGCTAGTTTTAAGCGCTGAATTCAAACTTAAAAGTTTCGATAAAGTTCGGGCGATTCTTTGTTCTCTTGGGTAAAAAACAATGAAGTTTTCAGTTTGGTTCAACTGATTTTTTTTTTTGAAAACAGTTTTTCTAGGTTTAATTTTAAATTATCAACGATTAAAATCTACGTTTTAGAAGCGAAATGTTTCCTCAATGAAATTTTGAACATATCGAGGGCCTATGGAAGAATAAAAAAATTATTCCGCCAAAAAGATACTTAACCAAAAAAATGTAAAAAACAAACATTTTAAATATTGATGTACTAATAGTTTTTTCGCTTTATTATGTACAATTTATTTATACATGATAAAATGGAACAATTTTCATGGAGGGGACACATATTATGTGTTTGCGCGTGTGTTTGTGTATTAAATGAAACAGTTTATCCGTTTTTTTTGTTTTTTTTTTTTTCTTTTAATAATTAAATCTAATTTTGGATGCAATCAAAGTCGCGACACAAGTTCGGAAAATATTTTTGTTTTGTCTCTCCCAGCAGCGCATTAGATGGAAATAAATGGAATAAGAGGTTCAAAGGGGAATATTCCCCATTTCAAAAGATGATATTATAATTCATTCACTATATGCCATAATTTCTTAAGCTAAAAAATTAACCAAATTTTATTCATATATTCATAATAGAATGGAATTGTCACAAACAAATACTAAACACCTTTATTTCTTCCTATCAAGCGATTAACGTTACTTTCAAAGTAGCCACATTCAGATTAATTTGTATAATGATTTTTTCTCTTTCATTCTCTTGCCAAATACAAAATAATGCATAATAATTTTTATTTATAATTTCAAATTTATTTATGGATATTCAATTTAATTTTGGATTTGACGCCACATTTAAAAAACAAACAATCAAAATAAAAGACACTTTACATGTTCACTCCAAAAACAAAAACAAAAATAATCTCTTTGTTACAACCGTTTTTGGTTGCTTTTTTTGGTTTTTTTCTCCGCCTTCTTCCTCATTTCTTCTGCAAATTTTTGGAAATTGTCATCATTTGCAATGTCTTTTGATTGAATGCTTACTTCTTTTTTTTTGCGTTTTAAATTCATTTCCACTTTTGAAAATGATTGGCAACAAACTTAACTCAATAAAATTACACCACAAATCAAAATAAATTAAACATGAATGCACGTTGATGCAAAAGCGTAATTAAAATTGCCTAAAAAAAAAGCGACAAATGACGACGCTGTCGTCCCGCGTATAAATATTACTGCAGCCCATGTGAGCTGTGGTGCTTAATTTTGGCAAATGAATTTAAATAAAAAAAAAAGATGTGTCCATTAAATATTTATCAAAGAATAGATTCTCTTTTTTTTCAGATTTTTCTGTTTGCTTAATTTTCAATTCTAAATGGTAAACGCCGCAAATATGAGAGTTCTGATTGTCGATAAACCAATTGCGCTGGCGTGTGATTTTGTAGGGTGAGGGGTTGAGTGTGTTCGAAAAGATGAAAAGTGATTTAAAAAATGTGTTTCTGTGCACAAAAACTAGCAATTGAGTCAATTAAAAACAAATTTAATTTTTAAGTACTAATTTATGAGGTAAAAATACTCTGCAATTGGTTTTTTTTCTTCTTTGTTTGTTCATGTTGGCATATTGTGGACACAAGTTCACAAATGACTCGCGCGCGTGTTTGTGTATATAGGAATGAAAGCTGATGTTTCGACTAAAGCATTTTTGAATTATTACCGAAAAATTGATTCAATTTTAGTATTGTTCAAAAAATCGTTCATTTCTCTATCATTCTTTTATTTCTTCAATTAAAAAAATGTATTCTGACTGTCAATCAGTTGCCTTTTTTGTCATCAAATGGTAACCGGTATTTTGCATAATCAGGGAATTTGTTTTTTTAGTAGATGTGAAAATCCCCATAGGGACACAATGCAATTTTCTAAAAAAAAATTGATTCCGTTGATTCATAGGAATTTAGCGAGTGACTGACAGTGAATTCGATTTTCAATTTCTAATTCAACCGGTTTTCAAGAAATAAGAAACGTAACAATATAGCTCTGCTTAATTTTATTCTTTTTCACCCTTTCTATCCCATTCTCTGTTAGACACATAATCAGCATTGGGCAAGCAAAAATTCATATGTAGATTTAGAGTACGCAGATGTGATTAGGCATCCATCCCAACTGAAATCGAAATACAATTTCGATGTTGCGATGACAACGAAAAATCGTTGATTGAAGACTTGTTGTTGCTTAACGTATTTAATTTTTCACACCAATTCACGCCACCGCCGCCACCACCACCGATACTGTCCACTTTCGATAAACCATTGTGTGATAATGGCATTTGATTTCTTATACTAATTGATCCCTCAAACAAATTTGTTGGCGATGTTTTGCTTGGCTTATGCAATTTCTTATCACTCTCATCAATTGCACATTTTATATTATCACCTGTGAAAATCGAAAATAATAAGAAAACAGTTGGAATCAATTTTTGTTTGTTTTTATAAGCGAAAATTTACCATTTTCTTCTGTAATTTCGTATGCAATGCCACCCCAAGCCAAACGAAAAACACGTTCACGCCATCGTATCGCCGGATCCCATAGTGCATTAAAGAACAAATATGGTCCAGTGCATTCGCGTAACAGCCAACCAACGACAAATTCAAATTTATTAAATGGCAACGTGCCATTTTGAACGATTGACAACATTAGCCAATCGCTTAGCAGCCACATTAGAATGTGTACTAAATAAAAGACAAGCGCATCCCAATGAAATAGAATCGATACAGACCATGAGGCCAATGCACCCAAAACCATGCATTCGGATAACGGTTCCAATATGATCATTGTGGGCAACATAGCAACACGCAATTTAACCCAACGGGTTAATCGGGCTTGAAACGTCGATATATCACAAATGCCGGAATTTTGCCATGCCGGTTGACTGCTTATGGCCAATTTCCAACCACGATCCATGAACGCTTGTGCAATGAAAAAATCTTCAGCCAAATAACAACCGAATGCCTGCAAGCCGCCTAATTCAGCCAGCACATTTCGTCGCATCAAACATGACATGCCCGTGTGACAATTTATACCCAATAAATCGGCTGATAAATAGATACGCGATTGTACGGTTCCGAAAAATATCTAATGATAAGGAATGAGAATTAAATAGTTTATTTTATGACATTTGCTCAACGAAAATGTTTGTGTAATAATTTTTGCCCACATACCTTTTCAAATGTTGCCGCAAATCCTTCGCGATCACACGTGAATGGCATCTGATGAACTAAACCCACTTTGCTAGTCATGTATTCGACCATATCGAGTAACGTATCCTCTTTCACTGTTTTAATGATATCAAGTACAGCAATAATTAGGTACAATTTTTTTTTGTTTTGTTTTGTTTCAACATGGGCCTGAAATGGTGAGTAGAGGGCGAGAATAAGGTTAGATTACTTACTTCGAATACCACTGTCCGATATCATAACCAGTTCATATTTAGCTGCCACATATCCTTGGTGCATGTTATTTATTTTTGGATTGACTCCCACATTTGATCCACCTGTCCGCAACGATACCACGCCATAAATTGAAGGAATTTGAAAACGAGAGAGAGAGAGAGAGAGAGAGAGAGAGAGAGAGAGAGAGAGAGAGAGGAAGGCACACAATATAATATAATTAATGACGCTCATAATAGGTATATTGATTCAAAATGACGTTATTTATTTCAATCGACAACGATTGTTCCACCCACCAATGAATAATCTTGAATCGATCGTTGGATACTTTTTCCTCAGTGTTTGCACAACGTCAATAGCCGGATCACAATTATCCTCAATACAAAATAGAAGCTCATACTAGATAAAAAAGAAAGAAAGTAAATTAACTTAATTATTTTTTGTTGTTTCATTCATCGAAGTTGGTTGCTGTTTCGCAATAAACATTTCATTCGTTTCAAGTCCATCGTATTTACGATGGAAACAATACTGCTGGCATTCGATATATGCGACGAACACTTTGTTGACTTCAACTTTGACACCAGTTTAAATGTGAAATGATCATTACATTTACATGTTGAACTGTTACACGAACAAAATGCACCGAATCCATCAATTTTGATTGGTTATCGGGAGCGGCAATATGATGAATATTTTGGATAAATAGCTATAATTCATGATTGATGTCAGTTATTAACCTCGGAACAATTGATGAAGGAAATATACATCGGCCAGTAGTGTGCGAATGTTGTGTATAGAGGAAGGAGTTTACTTCCGTGGCTTTTGAAAAATTCCAACGACCCTCTTCGAAACCTGACCTCGCATACTACTGGCTCAGCATAGGAAATTATGGTTTTGAAATTTTTTAATTTGTTAAATTAAAAAAATAAATAAATTCAAATAAACATCAGAATATCAAATTACACGCAACAAATGCCCGATTAGATTATAAAACATCAACTGAATTCTAAATAAGCTGAAAAATCATCAAAACACACTGAGCATAATCAACAATTAAATGGTTGCTTGTTAGTAGATTAATTTGAAATAATTTATTTATAAGCAGTTTGTAGCCGCCACAGGGAATTCCACACATATGCTGCCTTTTTTTAAAGCCAATTAACAACAAAATGTAATTAGAGGGAAAACTATATGTTTGTTTGTGGTGTGGGAATTTCATGAATCGAATCAAGAATAGACGAAAGGGGAATCAAAGCGATGAAAACCCGTTTTTTTTTTTGTTTTATCGCAAAGACTGGACAACAAATTATTGATCTTTAAATTTTCCTTTTGTTTAAAAATGAAACAGAAATAGAACACTTCATTCACATGATAGAATGTCGCATGTTTGACGTGCATGTCGAAAGAGTAAAATCTTGAGAGAGGAAAAACAATCATCGATACCTTTATTCAACATCTATTTCGACTTGTTAGCTTATATGGTAGACATTAGCATATCTGACCGTCTGGCTAACATGACATTAACATTATATTGTAAGCATTCAAGCACTATGAATAAATGCAAATCGAACTGACATACACAGACACACACACGCACCTATGCATGTATAGAGGCAGAATGCGACACGATAAATCATTTCAATCAGATTTTCTTGGAACTAATCAGTATTCGTAGAGTCGAAAACGACAATGCCTGTGAAATCTCTGTTAATAATGACAAATTGCAATTACTTATATACACTTAAAGGCATGTAAATTCAAGCAGCTGATAATTGTATGAAATTGGAATTTCGTTTGTATAATTGACAGCTCGAATTGAAAACTATCATTTTTATTTGTATGACTTTAAATTCAGATATTTTATAATGATGACAATACATCACGTCATTTTCTTTGATAAGATTGGAGCATGACGAATGGGGTACAACATGGCAAAAAAGCAAGAAAAAAAAATGATAACGTATAAAAAAAAAGAAATAACTACACAATAGAAATGGTTTGTTTGTGTGTATGGTATGGAGATGATGGCACACACTAATTGGCCCACATATTTAAGTCTCGACATTACTATTTAACCCTAATTGAATATTTCTGAAAGAGCATATGCATTGAATGTGACCAAAAAATGCCAAATGTATTTGAATTTTATAAAGTCACAATATTCTATTGTTTAAAGCAGTGCCGAAGTGATATACAAAAAACCATACAAGGGCAATGAAAAGCAAAGAAAAAAGAATTCAACATCAATTGAACTAGACATGAGTCGCATAACATTCAGAGTTGATTCGATGAATTTTTTAACAATGAAAATACAATCAATTATTCACGCCTATTTGCTAAACGATTAATCTCACAACGACAATATTCAAATTCAATTGTTTTTTTTCCTCCCCAAGTTATTTCACCTAGATTTAAACCAGAATCATAAATGAATTCCTTACATTCCTTGAATACCAGCAGCAATTTGTTTGTAATAGTTTTTTTTTTCTTTGAATAATCACATTTGATTGTTTGATTGACTCAAATCGATTTCTTTATAAAGTAGAACCTCTCTTTAACGGATTCTTTTAACATTGATTACATTTTTTTTGCTAACCTTCAACAGCGTTTATGCCAATTTTGATCAAAAGAACGAATTTGTTTTCAATAACAATAAATATCAATCAGAGAATGAGAGATATTGTATTAATTGAGGTTTGATGGAAAACAAGTGATTTGAATTTAACATAGATGACAAGAAAATGTCAATATACCGGCGTATTTTGTAGTTTTATGAACCATTATTGAGTGCTAATCTTGTATGGAAACTCCAATAGCGTAAAAAAGCGTAGCTTCCGTTCAAAAGAGGTTCCACTGTATTTTGTTAAAGGAAATTGTGGCACATCGACTGTGTTTCTTACCGTTTGATAGTTCATAGTAAAAAAAGTTTCCAAATTTTGTTGCAAATTTGGGTCAACGCCCATAAGCGGTTTTAGAATTGATATTGATGGCAGTGGTTGTATTTCTCTAACTAAATTGATGGTGGATGACAATTGCGCGCTAACTGATGGCGGTGGCGACGACGATGTTGATGATGGCGACGCTGTCGATGAAGACGGTGATGTTGACGACGACAATGACGACGGCGTTGTTGACGATGATGTTTGTTGTTCCTGTTGCTGTTGTGTTTGTTGCTGTTCGGTGGCTTGTTCAATTTCCGATTGTTTCGACTTTATTACCGAAGCCTTAACTTTGCGATGTAATTTAAATTTGCTATATGCACCATACAACAATTGAATTGGCCCGAAAATGTGATCGAAACAAAAGACGCCAACATAATGAGAAGTGACACGAAAGAAATAACATAATCGAAATTAATCTTCCGCGTATACAAAACACTTATTACAACTAATTATTACATTGTTTGAGAAGCGTTTTATGTGAATTATTCTTATTATACGTACCCATAGCTAATGGCAAGCACGTGTAATAGCCACTTTCCACACCAAAATACGAAGAAAAATATCGCAAATCCATAAATAGTATATATCATCGGTGACATTTTCGCTGGAGTTTATCAATCGACGATGATTCCTTTGGCATTCTTTTTTCCGACGTTTATGTGGTTCGGCGCCACGATTTATTTTTGTTTTCTTTACTCGTCGGAGGACACACAAATTTGCTTTTTTTTATGGTAGACAAAAGCAACGAAACGACTAAACAAAAAAGAAAAAGATTTTTGTCAGGCACAATCACTGTATCCTTAATTTTGACTTTTATGGCGGTTTACAAGAGCATGGCCAAGAATCAATTGCTCGAATGTATAATTTTCATTTTATTTCACAAAAACACACACTCAATCACATTCATAATATATTTTTGTAGATTTATCAAATTTATATTGCACACACTCAATTATTTATTAATTATTTTTGTTTCGTCTTTTATTTTGTGTCAATTTTGACTGTCAAAACGCAATGTATAAATGATGATGATTCACTGTTCGTTATGGATAGCAATGGTCTACTGAATACATTAGACAAAGACAAACGTATGTGACTGGATTTTTTTTTCTATCGGCACATGGTTTTACACACGTCCACTTCACATACACATCTGTACATTTCTATTCGCTCGGTTCATTGTGTGTGTGTGTGTCAAAACGTCGGAATAACTGACAATGCGGTTGGCAACAATGCTAATAGCGCCACATAATTCAACTTTCAAATCGATTTTTTTTTTTCGAAAAAAAAAACTATTGCTTCCCATTATAAACTGTAATTTAATAAAATTACTGCCGTCACATGTAAATCGAGATACCATTGTAAAAAAAACTGAAAAATTGTATCAATGAAATCAAAAAATATGTCAACACAATTCAAATTGTAACCGATACGTAATGGCACCAAAGCGATTTTGCCTTTATTTGTTGTAAGACGCAAATTGCAGTTGGCATGTAAATTGCGTTCTTTTTCATCGATGAACCGATTGAGTCACACAGTGGAAAAAAGAGTATCTTAATCATATTCTCAAGTACCTCTCAATTCTTATACATATATACATATCTATATATATATATGTCAATGTCGCAGTATGTATGCGAAACAAAGAAACTGTTTGTCTGAAAAAAAATATGTGTGGAAATATTTAGGCGTGATATTTGATACAGTTATATATTCCACATTAAATGATTTAATACGTTCTCATGTATCGAATAGCCCATTGAAATGGTGTGGTTAACCAAATCAGTGATTTTTTTACAGTCGTTGTCATTGATTGTGGTCTCTTTTTTTCAATTTCATCCGTTTTCCTCAATATTCTGACATATGTCAGTGTCAAAAATGCAATTATGATTCGGAAATGTGTTGATGTGATGGCGCTGCATGTTTCGTTATTTTTTTTTTTTCATCTGTGGAATGCGCATTTCGAATGTGTCAAATAAACAAGCACACACAGTGATAGAAGTGAAAAACTTCGATTTTGTATCGATGCAAAAGTGTGCGAGCAAGATAAATGTATCGTTTTAAACTCATCGGTGAATGCAATAGAGACAATTTCGTGTACGAATGCACACCCAATTCGAAGAAAGAAGAAGAAGTCATTATTGTTGTTGTGCATAGAATGCACGATATATATCACTGATAGTTGTGCTTTTTTTTTGTTCGACTCTTCACACTTATTCATTCAGTAACAACTCACAAGTGAATGAAGTGTTTTTAATATCGCAGAATCGAATAGTGAAAACTTAAATCGCAAGTGATACGGCGTGCATACGCACACGGCCATTTAAAATGAGGACAAATTTTTATGGACATTTGAACTTTTAAAACAAAATATTAACATCGTTTTTTCCAGTCCTTAAATCGCCGCGAACCCATCCTTCTTTTCCTTGTTTTCATTTTATTTTTTCTTTTAACTTTTCTGGTTCCGTTTGTTTTTATGATATTCGTTTGTGATTTTTCCGTCGTATCTCGGTGTGTGTGTGTGTGTTTGTCATTTTTGTTTTTCGTTCAATCAAAAGGGAAAAGCGAATAGAGAGAGAAAGAGAAGAAATAGTATTTTCCGAACGTAAATTTTCGCCGTTCGTTAATCATATTTCGGTACAAAAACAACGGTAGCTGCAATAATGCGGCGCAAACGAGTCACGAATAAAAAGCAATCAGTTAATCAACGTTTAGATAACAATAGCCATACAAGGTACGTTTATTCACTTAATTTTTTTTATCTTCTTTCACTCGGTCGCGTCAAAATCCAGTTCAAAACTTTTCTTCTTCTTCTTCTTCTTCATGAGAACAAAACAAAAATATCCGCTTATCCGCTTCACGCTTCATAGTTAAAATAAATGTATCGCTGTTGATTTAATTGATTTCATTTTCTGCCTTTTTTCTGACGATTTTGTGTGTTTTAAAATCAATACACACACATTAATTTAATGCACAACACAGTCCACGACATCAAGAATCTTTCGCAAAATACTGCGATATTTGCAATGCAAAAACAGCTCGTGCCCAAGGAACACTCAAATCGCCGTCGCTTCAGACAAAAAATCTTACAACAAAAACTAACGTCAATAATCCACAAGTAGACGAAGACTCAATTTTTATAAGCAACACTTTATCCTCATCAAAGTCACTTGAGTCGGGAGAAAAAGGTAAGCACAAACTTCAAAAATGAAAATTGTCATCACAGTCACAAATCACAAATAAAAAATTGACCAAAAATGAAATGAACATATACCTACAAATAAATGTTTGGTCACGCTTGCATGGGACATATGTGCAATCGGAAATAAAAAAAGAAGTTTGTGTTTAATTTACGACTAAATTCACATATCAATTGAAATTTTCTTTGTTTTTGTCTCTAACTTATTTGTACAAACGCAGCAACTGGCGCTCCATCTGCACACATAGAAATCATCTGTCAAAGTACATACACATCCTAATAAAAATAAAATTGACGTTTATAAAAAAAATAACATAAGAAAACTGTATAGCTCAGTACATCTACGTAATACAGTTCGTGTTGAATTATTATAGAGAAACTATATAAGTGTATTGGTCAAAATATTTTATTTATAATAATAAATACACTGGATTATACAGACTTCTTATTGACGTGAATCTTATTTTCAAATAATTTCACATTCTTACCGCCTGATGATGGTTAACATTGATCTTGATATGAGTCAATTTTTATTTTATTGACGTTTTCTTTTTCACTTTTTTCGTTGTTCTTTATAGAAAAGGAGAATTGTCATCGGGTGCCTCAGCAACGCAGCTAAATCATCAACACCAACGTGAACGAAAGACTGGAACTGTTTGCGCACCGATTACTTCACAATTGATGAAAACAGCATCGAATGCCATACGTTCGAATTCAACACAGTTGAATCAACAACAGGTAAACGCTCATTTTTAAATTTAACCGCCGATTTTCGAATTAAATTCTTTTTCTTTCTTTTTGTTCTTAATTTGGTACGTGCCACTGTTATAGCAACAAAATCAAAAATCTGTGAACAAAACATTGAGTCATAAAAACGCAGGTTCAGCTGAAAATCAGCAGCCACAAATTGGTGATAATAATCATTTGCAAAACTTATCGAAAACGGGTTCATTTCTAAGTCATTTGGCCCGGGAATTTTCCGGTGTTCGTGCCAGCAGTAGTACGGCTAGTGATTTACCTGCTATGAAATCAACCAGTCGAAATAATTCGAGCGGTAGCTATAATATTATCGATTATTTGTCGATTATTTTAAATTAATTCTATTCTTTTCTTTTGTGATTCTCACCTTAGGTAGCAATAATAGTAGTAGTGGAATCGCCGGAAAACGTGTCATGCGAAAACAACAACTCAGTTGCAGTGAAGGCAGTGTATGTGAGGAGGCTCGTGAACTTGATGAAACACAAGGTTCATCAGCAACAAATGAGCCTCCAGATGCGGACACAGTGGCAACATTAAAAAACAGCACAAATGAGATATCCAACGAAAATGACACTAAAACGGTAGGCTACGGACACCTCCGCGAAACAAAGATCTAAGTCTGCTCGATCAGAGTTTTTGAAGGTCTCGAATTCCTGTAGTTGCATCGAAATTCCGATGAATACACCATTTCAAAAACTCTGTGAAATTTTCGGAGAAAAAAAAACAAAATGTTAAATTAAATGTTGGTTTTTCTTCTTTGCAGTCAGACGATGGGGTCTCAGATGTTTCGACAAACTTAGCATTAAATAACGGTGGTGATAATGATAATTTAGTTTCCAGTGATCGTGATGCGAGCACTAGCAATGCAAATGAAAATTCATTAGATGAAAATAGGTTAGATATGGATGAACAGCCAATAGTTAGTCAGTCAACAGATCAATTGGAAGAGGTGATTTTGTCCAGTGATAAAGCCAAAACTAGTTCAGTGGCCGGAAGTCAAGATGCAATAGTTGCTACAGGTGAGTTTGCATTTTTGTTTTATCTGGTAATTTGAATTATTCATTATAACTTGTAATTCGTTTCAGAAACCACAAATGATGCGTTAATACCAACGGATAATAATGCATTATTACCAGCACCAGATGAAACACAACGCTTCAATTTACATCGTCGTTTTATTCGAAAAAGTTTAGATGCGACGACAAATAATTTATTGTATTCGAAAAATTTCATCGAATCGGATACCATCGAAACGGAATATCCACGAAATTTGGATGACAACATTGAATTGTTGAGTACAGAGACTGAAATATTGGAAGCACAATTTATTCCATCAGATGATAAATATCTGCAATTCGATTTGCCACAAGATCAACATCAATTGCAACAAGAGCCCGAATACACGGAAGACGATGAAGAGCCGGTCGGCGTGTCGCCTTGCGGTCGATTTTTTAAGTATGACAAAGAGGTTGGCCGTGGTTCATTTAAGACTGTATATCGAGGCTTGGATACGCAAACCGGTGTTGCGGTTGCCTGGTGTGAGTTGCTCGATAAAAAGGTGAACAAAGCGGAACGGCAACGATTTCGCGAGGAGGCCGAAATGTTGAAAAAATTACAGCATCCAAATATTGTGCGATTTTATAATTATTGGGAAGTGGCAAATGGCAAAAAGAAAAATATCGTTTTAGTAACGGAGCTCATGTTGTCGGGTACATTAAAATCGTATTTGCGACGCTTCAAAAAGATCACACCCAAAGTACTGAAATCATGGTGTCGTCAAATTTTAAAAGGTTTATACTTTTTACACACACGATCGCCGTCCATCATACATCGTGACTTAAAATGTGATAATATTTTCATAACCGGTACAACCGGTAGCATTAAAATCGGTGATTTAGGTTTGGCCACATTGAAAAATCGTAGTTTTGCAAAATCGGTAATTGGTACGCCGGAATTCATGGCACCGGAAATGTACGAAGAAAGTTATGACGAAGCGGTTGATGTGTATGCATTCGGAATGTGCATGTTAGAGATGGCCACATCTGAATATCCATACAATGAATGCGCGGGTCCGGCTCAAATTTATAAAAAAGTTGTGTGCGGCATAAAACCGGTGAGCTTTGAAAAGATTGAAAATCCCGAAGTAAAAGATATTATCGATCGTTGTACAAAATTGCGAAAAGAGGATCGGCCCAGTTGTTTGGATTTATTGAATTCGGACTTTTTCTGTGAAGATTTGGGCATTAAACTCGAACCAATTACAAAGCAACAATTTTTACTCAGCACAGCTTGCAATAATATTGAGTTTCGTTTACGTTTAATGGATCCAAAGAAGCGAACATCAAAGCACAAAGAAAATGAGGCCATTCAATTTGAATTCGATATAACGACCGATAATGCGGACGATTTGGCCAGCGAAATGTTCAAATCGAATATTATCAATGAAGAAGACTCAAAAGCGGTGGCCAAATTGATTAAAGTACAAGTGGCCGCATTGATTAAGCAACGACGTGAATTGATGGCACAAAAGCAGGTCGATGGCCAAAAATCGCATTTGAGATCGAAAGCATTGCGCGCCCAACAAATGTTAGCCTTTCAAAAGGCTGCCGAAATCAATGAAGAAGACGACGATGAAGAGGAATCGGATGAAATCGAAGAGGAGGATGATGAAGAATATATCCCGGGTGTAGTGATAAACGCAACCGATATATTGGAATTAGGTAAAAAGCGCGGCAACATCGAATCGAATGACAGCGGATTGGTACAACAATCAAGTCTGGATGATGCATCCATTGTACAACAGAAATCACAATCGACTGGTGTTAGCTACGATCAGAATATGCTGGTCACAAATCTACCAGATATCGACAGCATTCCCAAAGAATCGGATAAAGTAATGCAACAAGTTCAGCAAGTGCAATACTCTGGTGTAGAACCTGATTTGCTAATTTTACGTAACGAAACGGCAAACAATGCACATATTGAAGGTGAAAATCGAATGATCGACGAGTCAATGAGATCCAATCAAAATCAACCACTTCAACAGACAGTGCAAATGGAACCGCCACAACAACAACAACAGCAGCAGCAGCAGCAGCAGCAGCAGCCAATGTGCATTAATGTGAGCTCGGCAACCGAAGTAAATGCACTAATTGGCAATCAACAAATGATTAACCAAGATAATCAACATCTTGTACAACAGAATCTTGTATCACCGAATGAAGTCGAAATGTGGCATCAACAGCAGCAACAACAACAAATTCAACAGCAACAACAACAAATTCAACTGCAACAACAACAAATCCAGCAACAGCAACAACAAATTCAACAACAGCAGCAACAGCTTCAACAACAGAAACAGGCACAACATGCTCAACAAGTTCATCAGCAAATTCAACAGCATCAACCACCACAGCAACCACAGCAACCACAACAACAACAACCACAACAACTCAATGAAGTGCCAGACCCAACATTAATCACCTATCAGACAACTCAAACCGATCACTCAGCCATACCAATTGAGCATGCCACAGTCACCGTTCCATCGATGATGTACGATGCGAATGCACCATCATCGGCCAATTTGATGATGAATCAAATGAAAGATCCGAATGAGATTGAAGCGCATGCCATCAATACCGATACATCTTCATCAGTTTCATCACAAGAACTAGCACAAGTTATGCATCAACAAATTAGTCAATCATCAACTTCCAACGAACAGGCCATATTACAATCGCAAGTCCAACAAAATATCGTTCAGACGCCGTCATTGAATCAAGCGGCGCAAAATTATCCAACGGCATCCGTTCAAATTCAATCACAAGCAGCAGGAATAGTGCCTCAACAAATACAATCGATGCAACAAACACAACCATCAGAACAAGACCAATCCCAACAACAACAGCCACAAGTGCCCGTTGCAAGTAATAACGGAAGCAACACAAATTCAGCGTCAAACCCAAAACCGGCTCAAAGTGGCGAAGGCAAAACCCGACGATCAAACAAATCTTCGGAACGTATACCCAAACTAGTGATATTAAGCGTTCAAAATGGAACATTAGTCGATTGCTCTATGGAGAGCAAATTAAAAACCATTAAATTCAAATTTGATATTAGCGACGTTAATCCAATTGATGTGGCAAATGATTTGGTAAATGATTTATTTACATTTTTTAGTTAATCTATCGAATGGGAATGATGCCCATTTTGTTCAACAGTAATTTCCAGTATTTATAAATTTCATTCGTTCTTCAATAGATATCCAAGGAATTGTTGTCAGCGAGCCAAAGAAATGTGTTTGCCGATATGGTAAAGGATATTGCTTTTTATTGTTGATTCTTTTTCGATTATTTGTCGATTATTTTAAATTAATTGTATTCTTTTCTTTTGTGATTCTCCCCTCAGGTAAAGGATATTGTGCGGCAACTCAAATTGAATCCAAACCAAATACCGGTGCCGCAAACAACTCATCGCCGAACTGGAAGCGGCCTCGAAAAGGTTGGTATAAAATCAATATTCTATTCGTGTCGAGCAAATTGGTTTTTTTTTCTGTGGTCTTGATTGTGTTCCTTCATTCGATTGGAATTCGAAATAAATCGATATTATTGTGATTTTATTTCGCTCAGCTACTAATCTATAAAACGAAACCAATGAGACATTTATCCATTTAAACTCTGTTCATTTCATTGCATCATATTTTGATTATACAAAGCAACGAGAAAGAAAAACGATTAATACGATCAATTTGTTTGAAGAAATGGAAAATGGCGATCGTTAAAAAATCGTTTTCGTTTTATTATTTACTTGACTTTTTTTCAAACCATATTCATTTGCTTTCATATTATTTTGAATTACTCTCATTATTTTTTTATATACTCCAAATCTAAACATAAACTCTAAAATATATATATATATTCTTAACTTGCACGCATTCAAAACTTACTATTATCATTCGTAAAAAAAAAACAAACAAAAAATACAAAACTACTTCTGCCGGAATCAAATCATCTAGGTGAGACATGCGTCTTTAACAAGACAGCGAACAGCTTTTAGAACGCATCAAAGACATCGATCAGTAAGTTTCCCTTCAAAGTCAACACAAACACATGCATTTTCACAATTCTCATTTTACGAAATGAATTTTGATTTTTGGTTTTGTTTTTTTTTCTATCCTGCAAATGGAAATAGTGACCATGTTGTTGCATTTATACTTTTGGTTTCTTATTATTTTCTAGTCATTTGATTTTAATTTGTGTCGGGTTTATGACACTTTTTATCTAGTTTTAGTTCAATTTTTTTATCAATATATTTCTTTTTTGTTTTGCAAATAGAGCATTTCTCTCTGTCTCCCTATCTTTATCTCACGAAAGTTTCGAGTCGAAAGCACATAAAAAAAGTGTGAAAATAGAAGTGAAAAGTCAACTATCGACAGGAGTACTCAATAGTAATCAGGAACATCCATTTAGAGATAAAATAGATATAGCAACGAACTAGAATTCAATGAATTAGATTGATTCGAGCATAGATAATTGCTCTACACACGCACAACGAATTATTTCGAACGATATGACAAGAGCTTATGCATTCGGCAAGGGAACTCTTTCCTAAGAGAAATGTGTAGTGTGACTGGTTAAATTTCCATTTGCAGATCGATTAAATGTACTTTTTTTGTTGTTATTGTTGTAAATTCAGTTAGTTTTGTTTTTTGTTTGTATGTATGCTTTTATCTGATTACTGCATTGGGCATTTTTTTAAAATTCTGATGCAGTTGCACGTACAATATCAATCGATTATGTTGTCGGTTTCATTCAACTTTTCTAATTAATCGTGTTTTCTTTTATTTATTTTTTGGCATCATTTCCATTTACAGAAGGATGAAACATCATCTTTATCGAAAATGTTCGATCCAACAATTTACAGTATGCAACCACTACAAGGCATTCAAAACACTTCAAGTCCAAACAGGTATTGAGAAACATATGTACATAAATACTTTGAGATTCCAAGTCGCTTTTCATGTATCCCTTCAATCACTTTTCATATTTGTCTTTTCTCTATTTCAGCACAAATAATAACAATAATAATAGTATAATCAACAATAATAACAACAATGAGGTTGTTTCTGATGTAATTAAGAATATTCCAGATGATGTAAATAATGGAGCACAATCGGTTAGTTTTTTTTTTAAACAAACATTAACTGAAATATAATATGTAAAATTTATTCAGATAAATCATTCCGAACATCAACAAATGAGTGGTGGCCACGAGCTATCGCGAAAGACAAGCACGGCCTCTGAATGTACGACAATGTCCGATTATACTCCAGAGAATACGATTTCATCGTCAACAACATCATCGCCACCAACAATTTCGATGTTTCAAAATATTAGGTAAGGATCCAAAAAGGGATCGAAATACAAATTTGTATTCGGAAAATGTGAATGATTGGGACAAAATTCAAAATGAAACAAACCTGTTGTCATTTTCAGTGATATACCGAGTTCGTTTGAGGCAGCGCAAACAATGACTCAATTTAATGATGCCAAAGAATCAATAACGCTTGCAGCTAATTCAACACTAGAACAAAAGCTAAAGGAAGTTTCCCACATTATAGATACTTCCGAAAATGTTTTTGCACCGCTTCAAATGACGGAACAAGTGACTAGTTTTTCTGATATTGGAACACCAAAAAATGAGGTAGTACAGCATCAACATATGATGCCAGCCGCTCCAGTCGAAAATATTGTGACGACACCTGCAACATCGTCGACAGCACCCAATACTTCTGAACCGCAAAAAGATTTAGAGGCCGCTTCGCCAACAAAAGTGCAACCCGTTCGAAAGATATCTCGATTCTTAGTGAGTCCAGCAATTTTAACGGTAGCAAATGAAAAGAGTGTGCAAAGCATATGTGTTGAGGAGCCACTTAAATCACCGCCACCCACAATGGGTCAGCCAACAGCTGGCGATGTGCATCAAATACCACAACAAACTCAACAAGTTCAACAATCGATTTCAAGTGGTGATCAATTACAAACACAACAGCAACAGCAACAGCAACATCAGCAACATCAGCAACATCAGCAACATCAGCAACAACAACAACAACAACAACAATTACAACCACCCGCTGATATGAATCAACAAACTATAATTGATATGTCCAAACAGGTGATCAATACAAATTCAAACGAACAACCTTATATGAATGCGTCAAATGTATTGAATGTACCAACGCAATTGAGTGGAAAAATTGCCGAATTCATTGAGGCAGTTCAACCGGAAGGTGCACCATTCATAAATCCAACCGATATTATATCACAATCGAATGCAATGGAAACCAAAGAATTCATTCAGCAACAATTGAAGAAACCGCTCGGACCGGATCACATTAATACATTGGAACAGTTGAAAATTGAATTGGAAAATATTACACATGTTCATATGATGACCAAATTTTTATCGGAAAATGATGGCAGCTCATCACAACTTTCACCCGAAATGAGTGGTGGCAATCAACAAATGGTCGACGGTATGTGAACTCTTCAATTTTAATTTTTTTTTTGTTTGAGCAACATTTTTTACAGCATTTTTCTATTCACAGAACAAATAAACATGGTGAATTATATGCCTGGTGGCATAGATAATCCACAAGATATGTAAGTGTTTTCAAATTAAGACAATTTCTATTAAAATTCTTTAAGTTTCTAAATAAATTGATAATTATATTTTCTTTTTGTATTGCACAGAATGCAAGGAGCGTATGTAAATCAACCAATGCACATGGATATGTACAATGGAAACATTATGCAATCGAATCAATATATTGATTCGAATCAAGTGATTCAGGTATGCATTCGCACATTTTAATTTTTATGGAGAGAAATAACGAAGATTCAATTCCACAGCAGCATCAACAACACCAACACCAACAGTATTCAGCGCCAGATAGTGTGGCAACATCAACCATAACTTCACCACCCGAGTACAATCAACAAGTTGTGAATTCGCCCACATTGAATTTACAGCCATTGGACTTGATTTCAGCTTTGCAACCTGCACGTAAGAAACCACAATTTAACTGAATTTTCAATCGAAATCTTTATCAATCAATCGTTTGTATGTATATTTTCAGAACAAGCAAATCAACAAATGATCCATCAAATGATGTCACATCAAGTGAATCAGGGTCAGCAAAGTACATCGGTTGTTTCAACACCGACCGGAGAGTATATGCCGCCAACGTTCCAAAATATGGAATCAGGTATATAGATCGACAAGCTAATTAAATTTTTGACAAACCAAATAATCCGAATCAAATAAAATATTTGTGTAAATTTTTAGTTACGGAAACTCCACCAATGACGAATGTGATGCAACAGCAGTTGCCCCAACAACCAAATACTCTAACATATTCAGAAGCTGTAAAGCTCCCCACTCAACAGGTACGTTAAGTCTAACGCCAATTAAAAATAAAACACTTTCACTAAATAAAATACATGTTTCAGGAGCTTTCAAGTAATTTACAACTTCAAAGCGGCGGTCAGCATATTAATCAATGGCCAGATACGCTTGAAAATGTGTCTGAACTATCAACCCAATCGAGTGCAATGACAAATGCAATCATTGGTTCAAATCCGACCGAACCACAAATCGAAATGATGACAAATGCAAATGTAAATCAAGTCATCACAAGAAATGAGACAGATAATCGAATTCCCGATCAAAATCCACCGAAAGTGCGAAAAATTTCACGCTTTCAAGTGTCACATGTTAAAGAAGAGGAGAAAACGGTTAAATTACCAAATATTATTCATGGCGGCGACGTTCTATTAGAAAATGTCTCGCCTGATCAAAAATCAACGCCAGTTACACATGAAATGGTTACGCAGAGCATTCAATCGCCGGTCGAAAATTCACCAGATAAACATGAACCAATGGTGAGCTGACAAAATGAAATAAAATGTCCAATGTTACGTTAAAGAATCAAAGAAGCGTGAAATCTAATCATTTTTTTTTTCTCATAGCAACCAACGCCACAGCAACAGCAGCAGCAAACGGTACTAACGCCACAGCCACAAGCTTCTCACCATCAAATGCCATTGTCCGAGTTTCCAATGCCACAAATGCAACAAACATTCAGTCAACCGTCGCATGAGCAACCAGTAATGCAAGCTCAAAATTATGTTCAGTCCCAATCAATTCAACAACAGCCGCCAGCACAAAGTCAATATACAACATTGGAACAGTCACACATAATAAATCAACAGGTAATGCAAGCGCAACCACCAACAATGCCTTCGATGGCGCCTCAAGCGATTCCAATGACGGCCCAAATGATATCAACACCACAGCCACAGCCACAGCCACAACCGGCACCAGTTTCTTATGTTCCAGAACCCACTCAAATGCAACAACAACAGCAGCAGCAGCAACAACAGCAACAACAGCAACAACAGCAGCAGCAGCAACCGCAACAACCGCAACAAATTAAGTAAGTTCACAAGAGTCCAAACGTGGAATAACAATATTTTAAAATTGATTTCTTTTTATTCTATTGATATAGTTATAGTCAAAATCAAAGTCATACAATTCAGCACAATATCGACATGGGAACGATGAGCTATCAGCCGGTTTCTCAACCGCAAGGTATATATTTCAAATCACTATTCTATGCATCGAATACAAATTGAATAATGCATTTTTGTATGTTTTCAGTTTTGCCAGTGGATAAGCAATTATTTACACAGACACTTCAGCCACCGGCGCCACAGCCATCAAATGTATGTACACCATCTGAAATGATGACCACAACGATACCGCAAAATGAAAAAACGGTTAGTGTAAAAACAATAATTTTCAAACCAAAATAATTGTGATTGAAATGAACGGTCATTGTATCGTTTCACATTGCATAGGAAATCAAACATAATTTGGAGGTGACGAGAAATATGCTGAGTACAATGCGACTGGAGCCAACAAGTAGACAACGATTACAACTATTGCTTCAGCGTCAACACATTGAAGAGGAAGAATTACGATTGCGACATTTTATGGAATTAGAAAAGTTCAGAGAACGTAAGTCATGGCCAAAGATTCAAATAAAAAAAAAATCGACAAAAAATTGAGATTGTACAAATTGAATTGCATTGTTTTGGCTGATTTTTAAAGTGTATTTTATTCTCTATCATGATCATTTCAGAAATAACAGGTGAAGATCAAAAGACGAATTAGCAGTTAATATCATCGGAGATCACAGAAATTGAGATCGTTTAATCCCGCGAATCTCGATACGAGAAAATCTTTTAATCGAATAAATCAATTGGCACCTTTACTTTTAACGAAGTGAAAAAATGGCCAATCGGTGATGCTAATTAGACCAGAATACACCATACCAGACCAAATGGATTGCTCAAAGCTCATAGATATAGTATTGATTAAACAAAAAGAGAAGAACTAAATATCTAGATTAGAATGTAACTAGCTTCGGTAACCGCTGAACGGTATTAGCATGTCAACTCTAAAAACAAACAAACAAATCTACTCGAACGTAAAAAATTAAGAAAAAAACCGCGATATTTGATTAAAATAACAAGAGAAGCCCAAAACATATATAATAGAGCAAAATGGGCGATAGAAGAGAGGGTTGTAAAATAAATTATAGGGATTGGCTAATAATAGCGATAACTGTTGAGGTTGAAGTCTTCCTTCTCTCAAAAAGAAATTCAACACTAGTGTGATTCAAGAGAAACAAACCCTTTTTTTTGTAAAAAAAAATGGAATTTGCCTACAAATGAAGAGTAAAATAAATATCGGTAATGCAGCGGCAGCAGCAGAAGAGTAAAGAACACAATATGTACCAAAATGAGATTTGTATTTGCCTAAACGATATGTATTTTATTGCGAAAAAAATGTGTTAAATTTAAAAAAAAATTATGGCCGAATAGAATTTATTTATGATTTGATATAGATGGATAAAAATTGAAACAAAATGAAGAGAATATGATAACATGTTTTAAGGAAAATCAAATGTGTGTAATTTTTTATCGCATTCATTCATTGGAGAAAACTGATCATTCAAGCCGCATCAATAAATCGTGACGTTGTGTCCGTGGGAAAAAAAATAAACAACAGCAGCAACAAATGCGATCTATATAATCTTTTAGAATGCCCCTCCCACAATTGTAATAAAATATTTAAAAAAAAACATGTTTGCTTTAAATGTATAAAGTTATTTTAAAAGAAACAATTATAATAAAATAAAAACAAAACCGTAATGAATTTACATCGTCTTACTCGGTCTTACTAAATCATAAAAATAGCAGGAAAAGTAAAAACAAAGTAGTTGACAAAGGCTAGAAGCAAACATACGAGCCATGCTTATTGTATCACACGAATTTTTCGTCAAATAACGTCAATTCATTGAATCATACCTGCATCTTTAATTTTCTTCAAGCAGTGTTCAGTCTATCCGGCTCCATATGTCTGCGTAAAAAAATCGAAATTCGTTCAATCGACTGTTGATGAAACAATATTATGTACATTTGATTAATTTCCATGGGAGATTCGATCAACAGTTCAAAATATGAATTAAATAAAAAAAACCAACATATATATATATATGCAATTATAAATAAATTATTACATATAAAATATGGCGTGATCTAGAGCTGACCGAGAGAATGGCAAGAAAAATGACAAACGCAGGAATAAACAAAAGTAAATATGAATAAAAGTGATTTAAAATAATAGTATGTTAAGTGGAAAAATGATAAAGGTTACTGAAAATACGATCGTACCAAAGTTCTAAAACCGTTCGGAGTTTATATATACACGTAAATAATATACTTTATATAAAATTCGCTGTCAAAATACAATTCACAACTTGTTGATCATCAACTCGTAGCAATAAATTTTAAACGTTGCGTCATACTCGATTTGTTCAATTGTTTTTTTACAAAAAATCCACATAGACATAAGAGAACTAGTAAAAACGTCATCAGATTCTGTCTTATTTTGATTTCGCTAAACGATGCCAACACGGTCATTCGTCGTAATCAATGGAAATGTAAATCGGAAAAACTTTAAAACGATTTTTGCTGATCTATGGATTTTCAGGATATCGCTCACTCTATTCCCAGACAAAAATCTTCTCTTGCCTAATGAAATTGACGACTACGTCGCAGATCATATATTCAGGTAAGTTTCAGCTTCTAAACTGATGATGCTCGTATTACAAAAAACTGGCTGTGTACTCATTATTACACTATGACAACATTTATTAAAATGAATGGTCTTAAATAAGTGTACAAAAGTTTTTTTGGAAGTGTCAAGCCAACAAAAGACGGGTCAATTTTCAGTTAAATTTGGATGTACTGTGAAATTACGCTGAGGTAGAAATTTAAAAAAATAAATGTGCGTTTCTAGATTTCAAATAAGTATACAATATGTGTACAACTAGAAACCGTTAACAGATTTAACCGTTTCTTCAGATGTAGAGATTCAATACGGAGCGTAATAATGGACCAAAATGAACTGAATTTGGTGAATTACTTTCCACCTCCTAGCTCTTTGAGTGTATGCTGATTGATTTATACAAATAAATCCGAATGCGTCTGCCTTGTGGAATTTTAGTAGATGGTCCTAAAAATAGCCGATATTTTGAATAATATTTTGATCCACAAAATTCACATCAAATAGGATTGTTTTCTCTGGAATTAAATATGCTGGTATGATGTGATAGATGATTTTGCATAAATTAAATCAAACAATTTTTTCTTTCAACCTTCCATTTTCAGTAAATTAAATTCTTAAAAAAATTACCCAAAGGATATTTCATTTAAGAAATGCTTTTATTATATCATTATGTGGGATTTTAAATTTACAAAACCATTTCAAAACTGTAAAATATTTTTGAATGTGCTGTTCAGAAAAAAAAAAACTTGACAAACTCTTTTGTCAATTGGAATTTGTTTTCTTAAAATTCATTACCCGTGTGTAAAAAAAATGTGTGACTAAGGAAATTTTGTACGAGATTCAGTCAACTACTTGTCGATTATCAGACGATTTATTTATGATAAAATTGACTATAAATTAGTTCACCTTAAGTTAACTTAAATCATCTTTAGTCACATAAAATTTATGTTAATTTGAGTCATACTACGACTACGATCACTCTCAGTTAACTTAAGTCAACGACAATGACTTTTGGACAAATTAAGTGCAAATCATTTTAAAATGGAGATTTTTTTTTAAATTTGCGTAAAATCCAAATGTATGTACTTCAGCCAAACTGAGAAATGAAGCACCAAAAAATAGACCAACTATACTACCAATCTTGATGACTTTGTCAAGATCCTTGAACGATACCCCTCGCGTAAATTCGCTTGGCTCATTTGGAACTTGAATGGATATTGATGTTTTGCCCGCAATACGAGCCTTTTTCTTCTCATACGTTCTGCAAGTGAGTAAAAAAAATTTATAATTTCAACATTCAACAACAACAACAACAACAACAGGGAAGAGACGATATACCAATTACCCAATCAATCCAACGTGCATTTCGCTACAAGATGGAAGACATGGTTTATCATGTTGAATATGTTTGCGAGTTGCAATTATGGTGTCATGAACCGCAATACATTTGTTCGTAATTGCAGTAATGATTTTCATCTGTTTGATTTTCATCAAATTAATTCGAATTAAATATGATTGGCAATTATTTCGGTAATTTGAAAAGAATTTCTTACATTCACTTGGTGCAAAGTGTAATGTGCAATTGCAGTGTTCCATCTCATATTGAACGTAGGGCAAAGATGCATTCGGGATCTGGACTATGAAAAAAAATCTGAAAAGAACATTTTTTTTGAGTTTTGTCATAAAAATATAATCGAATATTCGTGAGTATAGTAATAAAATATAACTAACCCAATAATAATAACCCTTCATTTGAATTAAATCAAATCGAAAATTTGTTTTTTCTCTTGCAGGGTAGGTCAATGACCAGTACTATACCACCCGGTTTGTTTTTTGTACCATTTGACTGGGATATCTGCCTTCAAATATTTATGGATGATCGAGAACGTGTCACATATTTCATTTCTGTTATAGTTGGAGTCCAACTGTTGGACGTAACACTACATTGAATCTGGGTAGTTTTCGAATCTGGGGTGTTTGTTTTCAACTGTAAACATTGAGAATAGAATTGGACGGTTTAAGAGACTCGTTACTAGTCTATGTACTAAAGGAATTGCATACGTTTGTCACGACACCCAAAAAATTTTCTCCACTGAGATGTCTGAATAATGTAATATTTTTTAATTTATCAATCAAATGCATACTGTTTGCAGTGATCGATCCGATTATTGTCATGTCGTGAATTATCATCGATCAATAAATTTGTCGCGCGTTGGTAAAAAGTGTTTACTATAATTTTCATTTTCATAATCCGTGCAAACGGTGAGTCCAGGTCTATAATATAAAAATGTGTGATCGGATAGAAAAAACTATTATATCGTTTATAGAATTCGCGACGTACAAAATTATTTCTTTACTATAGAAATACTATTACTTATAATTAACTATTATGAACAACCGTCGTTCTTGAATCTCTAGGGCCTAAATACGTTGAAAAATGATTTTTGTGCATTTCAAAATTGTAAGCTGGATCAGCCGATTATAATTTTTTAATGCGCATAGTGCAAAATAAATTTGGAACTACATCAAAACTTACGTTGAACAAAAGTAATAAAAAAATTGTTCACGGATACGGATAAATATTTTATCCGTGAATACAGAAATAGCGACGGACGTATTAAGAATTTTTCACGGATACACATCCCACGGACATAAAGTTCATCCGTATTCGCAAGCTTGGTTTAACGGATACGGATAAAATATATATCCGCATCCGTACGGGTACGGATGAAGTTGTCATCCGTGAGAGTAATGACAGTGAGCCAGGTAGAGATAGTAAATTGTAACCTACCTTAATGTACACTTTTTAAGACCAAGGTATCTTACATAAAATGTTGGGTTTAGAAAAGCGTTACCCCGGGCAAAACTATGGGTATGGCCAAAAAGGAGTCCATTTTATGAAAAATATTGTATTTGTGGGCACACTTCGAAACAAAATGTTGCACACTTACCTACATTCTCTAATTAAAACCATCCATTTTCAAAAAAAATTGCAGCAAAATTATAATAGCGTATACAGATGAAGGATGATGAATCCTTTGAAGAAATGTGAGCCAATGAAAATAAAAAGAATTTTCAAATAAAATCTCAAGAAATATTTTCATTTGATTATATTTTTAATAATTTCTTCAATAACATAAATAGCAGCAATGAGCTGTAAAATATACATTTGATCATTAAAAAGAGAAAACTTCTTTCCAAAGAAAAATTTCGGTTAGACATATCTCCTCCAAAACCTTTTTTTTTAATTTTTAACAAATTTTGTTCACTATTTTATTCGTTATATTTTTTTATCATTTTGAATCTAATCATAACTATCTTTTTTAATTTTATTTTAATTTCCACAATGGATCTAGGTCTTTGAATGGATCCTTGACCGGTGGCTCTTCTTCCTCAATGAAATAGTAATTGGTTTGTGTGTTGTTCGCCAATGATTTCGGTGAACCTATTCAGTAAAAAAAACAAATCAATTTAAATGCATACATTCATTTCCAATCGAATATGTTTACGTTTTTTAATAAATTCTCGACAACACTGTAGCACAATTTGCATCGATTGTTGCAAAATATTCATATCAGTTAAAATATTTTTGCGTTGTGAACAAATGCGATACCATACGTCAGTCACGTCTGAAGAAAAAAAACAAAAAAAAAACAATGGTAATCATTTTGATTCATGTTGATCAATCGATAAAAACTCACTGATTATTATGGGCATTTCACTTTCAAGAGCTAGTATGCATGTTATTGCCAGCGCAACCAAACTAGAACGCTCCAAATTTGTCGCACAGTTCAAAATCATCGGATTATTTTGCATGTTTCTCGGCGTCACTGTATCAACTATATTCTGCGATACTCCAATTAAATTTGATATCGAGCTGAAATAATTGTTTTTTTAGTTAATATGTAATTTGTTTCCATTTTTAAATCATTTTCACTTACTTTTTCGTTGGCCATTGTTTGGGTTGTAAAATGGTGATGGTTCTAGTCGAATTCGATTCAGGTGATGTAACTTGAATAGTTCGTTCGATGATGTACAGTCGATGTTGTTCGGTTAGAACGGTCACTGAATAATCGCCAAAATTTTGTGATGTATTCAATTGCTTTGGAAATAGCAGAATGGCACTTTCATCTGGCGTACTAAGGCATACTACGTACGATGCTTGCTGCGACCAAATCATGCACCAGAAATCTTTAACGGTATTAAATTTTGGTGCATCGGCCAATATGAAGTGGTTACAGTGCGATCCAAGATCCTATGGAAATTATTATTGGGAATATAATTTTTTTTTTATTTAACGTGTTTTGGAAACAATCTTCAAAGAAAATAAGCAAAAGACTCCTAAACGGATTTAAATTGAAATTATAACCAAACAAATACAACTGTATTACTGAATCCAATTCATTGACTAAAAATTGTTTAGAGCTGAATTTTCTGACAAAGATCTATTTTGCATTTTCAATTTTCGATGATTTATTTCTTACTCTGTATCGAAAATTGAAAAAAAAGTTCATGACACTTGGAATTTCCCGATTTATAGAAACTCACCAACTTCATTTCCATCTTAATCTTTAGCATAACAGAAAAAAATCAAAATAAATCAAATGAACGAAAATGCACACGGAAAGTAATAATTTGAAATAAGGATAGTAAAGTCAGCATAGAAAGTCGGAGTATTCGAAATTTTGAATTAAAAACATACCCGAATGTGAGCTGCATTAATATAGTCATCTGTTTCAGTGGGCAACAGAACACGAGAATGATCGTACGGAACTGAAAGCATGTCACGATTTTTTTCCGGAAATAGTTTCGATCTGCTAACCGATCGTTTGGCGGCATCTTTTTCCAGTGTATCATGTAGTTCTTTCCATTTGATTTCGAGTGGTGTAGTACCTAGGGGCGGATCACAAAAGAAAACAAACGAATAATAAAAAAATAATTAGTGAATGATTGAAAACGAATCGAAACAAATGATTAAATAATAGAATGGTGTAGTACCGTTCAATGTTTTTGTCGTTAGACCGTTAACAATTTTTTCATATCGTTGAACTTCTTTGTAGAAATTTTCAATATTCGCTGAACTTGGCGGCACCGAAGCTGGAGTGACCGCGGTCGTATTGGACACAATTGGCGCTGAACTTGTTGATGCCAGCAACTCAACGAAATTTGAATTCAAATCGAATTTTGTGTCGGTGTCAACGTTTGACTTGGCGCTCGTTTCTTCGGCCAAAGAAAGTTCAGTCAAAGCTTTTTCAATCGAATCATTCTTCTCAACGGGCGGTTTCTCTTCATTTGCCTTCACAATTGGTGTGGGTGTTGAATCATCTGCGATCTTTTTACTAATTAAAAACAAGCAAATTATTATTAAAATTGGATTTAAATTCCATTGGTTTATGACTTCAGTATTTACCTTTCTTCCGATTTATTTAATTCTATTTTGGAATCGTGTTGTGATGGTTTGTCAGTTGATTTAATCGGCTGAAGTGTTGGCGCAGGAATGGGAATGTTGTCTAAATCGCTTAACAAATCAAATTTATTTGACTTGCTCGGCTGTGGTTTCGTTTGCGGCACTGTCGTTGGATTGGTTGGATTCGATGCCACATTTGAAGTAACATTACTATTCACCGGTGCATTTGTAACCGGTGCCGGTGTTGAAAACTGCGCTGGAACATGAGATACTGCCGGAGTTACATTTTGAGCTTGCTGTGAATAGGTATTTGCAGCATTTGGATTTACTGCGCCATAGTTGTAAACGTTCGTTTGATTCGTTGCACTGTAACTGGAATTCGGTGTGACACCATAACCAGTCGTTGAATATGATGGAGCAATATTCGATACTGGATACTGATTACTTTGATTGTTTGCATCAATGCCGTAATATTGACTTGACGTTGGTGTATTTTGCATTGGATACTGCGCATTGTAGTAACCGTATGCATCACGAGTTGGATATGTGGATTGGGCATTATTTGTTGTTGGCAATGTTCCCGATTGCGTTGAATATCCAGGCACATAGTTGGTGTATGCGGTTGATGCTGCGCCCACTTGCTGTGGCACTTGCATTGAATGGCCAACATTGGATGTATTGGAATGCGAGTAGTTTTGTGACACTTGCTGAGTTTGACTTTGTTGCTGTGAATACTGATTACTATTTGCCGGTATTTGATAGGCATTCACCTGGTTGTTTGGTGTTGTGTAGTCAGTGTAAGAAACGCCAGCATATGACTGTGGTTGTTGGCTCAAATTCGGATTTGTCAACGAATTAGCCGATTGATAAATGCTCGTTTGCGGCGTTTGAGAATGATAAGTGACCGTAGTGGGTGCTTGCACACCGCCACTGTATGTTGAGTTCATGTAAGAATTCGATTGATTTGTTGTATCACTTTGTGAATAATTCAAGTACGATTGTGATGAAATGGGCAATTGGCTTGACACATTCTGTGCACCAGTCATCATGCTATTGTAGTTGTATGGTTGAATCGACGCTGACGTGGCTGCATTTGGATTCGTTGCGTACGAATAAGTGCCAACATTTCCATATGCACCACCAATTGAAGATACACTGGCACTCGTTACATTTACAGTTGTCTGTGATTTTTCACCACTATAAATTGGTTTCGTTTGACTCGGCGATGTAACCGCGTTCGATAAATTGTTGTAGATTGGATTTATGTATCCGGCCGATGCATACATATTTGACTGAGATAATTGTGGGTTATAGTAAGCAGTCGTTTGGCTTGTATACGTGTTTTGTTGATTTAAATTGACATTCGATTGACTTGAATGGGTTGATGTCATCGATGGAACTGAACTCGGCACGTACATTGATGCATGCGACGTTGATTGCGTGTAATTCGATGATATTGTTGGGACTGTTGCTGTTGCAGTCGATGGATAATTATAATTATATGGAATTGTCGCTGCCGTCGAATGGTTAATATCATGAATTCCGGTATTCTCCTGACCAATTGGTGTTGGCCGAATGGCAGCATTGCGATAGTTTTCAATGGCATCATGATCGATTGGTTTTGACAGTTTTGGATATTCACCGACATTTGAAGTGGGTACGGGCACGTTTGCTGTTGAAATGGCCACCGTTGTTGATGGTGGTGGCAATTGTGGATGTTGCATCGATTGCAATGCCTTTTTATTCAACGAATCAATGCGTTGTTGTCGCTCTTCGTCATGAACATCACGTGCACTGCGAACACGAGCACATAATCGATGAATGTTACTCTGTAGTTTTTTATAAAATTCCAATCCTTTTAAACTTTTTCCCAACAAATCATCGTACACGTCATACGATGCGATCAACGATGTAAAAAATATATCACGTTTATGTTTTGTTTCTGCAACAGCTTTGATGAAATGTGCACACTTTGCATAGGCATCGGTGAATGTTTTCAATATATTCTCTTGTGCCACAAGATTTTGTTCGATGATATTTATCAAATGATCATGTTTGGCCAATTCATTTCGAAACAATTTTTCCACATCGTTTTCACCCCATGCGACCAATTGCGCGGTGATGTCGTCTTTTTGAATGTTTTCACTCAGCTGCGCATAGAGTTGGCCCCGTTGTACACGCATTTCATTCACTTTATTCAACAGCATTTGAGTTTCGTTCAATATTCTTGGATCGCATTCCAGCGAACATGTTGGAATTTCGGCTTGTAAGTCTGACAATGGTTTTGATAACATTTCCAAATTTTTCACATGCATTTTCATTGCTTTGCTCAATGTCTCGTTGCTATCACCGGCTTTATTGTGTGCCTCTTGATATCTCATGAATTCCCGGTTCAATTCAATGAAGTGATTGCCGGGCCGATAGCCCATTGTTTGTTGGAAATCTTTTTCATACAATTCCTCTTTGCTCAACATTTCTTGAATGGTTTGTAATGAATTTTCGACATCGACACATATCTCTGCTAACGATGACATATTTTGTCTTAAATCATTGATAACCGTTGGCTGTGCATTCATCGCTCCACATCGATCGATGATCGATTGCGGTAGTTTCGCCTCTTTTGCATTAAAACTCAACGAATCAATATTCAATGATTCCATAAATTGATTTAATTCATTGTCTTTAGCTTCGATCTTTTGCGTAATTTTTCGCAAAATATTTGTTTTTTCTTCGCTGTACAATGAGCTTTGCTCATGTGTTTTTATCGGTACCAAACGATGGAAAATATCATCACCGGCCGCATCGGCCACATTAAATGGAATTCCTTTGACCAAATTTGCGCCAGCAATTGTCGCAATTGAACTGAATTCAGGCACTTCTTCGTGATAAATAAATTCATTTTCATTTTTGGCCGCTTTTCGTTTCGCTTCTACAACGTCCATGACAAATGTAAGCGTTTCATTCACTTGTGGCATATTTTCCAAATGTTTGGCCGCCTTTCGTGCATCATCCAATCGATCACAGGCCGCTTGATATAACGTTACACGTTCGCCCATTTTTTGTTGTTCCTCAGCATGTTGGCCTTGATATAACGATAAAATACATCTCATGTACTCCACTTTGAATTGAATGTATTGACGCCATTCTTTGAACTGTTTCGAACCGACAATTTCACCAATCATACCCTCTTCGTCGCCCGACGATAAAGACGCAAATGCCGAATTATAGTATTCAATAATTTGTGATGCCACTTTAGCCACAATGATCGATTTTCGATTATCGATTAAACTCTTCTCCAGAATGCACTCTTGTGCCTGAGCAAAACAAATATTTTGCATAAATCGCAATATATCTGGATGCATATCACTGGTTGTTGCCATTTGGTATTTTTCACGAACCATTTCAAAGGCCCAAGCTGCCCGTTGGAACAGCGTACACACTAATTTCATATCTTCTTCGGTTGAACGGCTCGCTTCTGCTCCCAATTGTGTATGTATTGCACCATAGTTATAAAGTACAATGCCCATATCATGACGAATATCAGACGATTGTGTTGTATTGCTTGAATAAATTTCACGCCACACAAAATTTACCAAATTCCGATCGTTTTCGATGGGAAAACGATTTTGCAACGAATGCAATTGACAATAATATCGTTTGATGACATTATAGCCGGTTTCATCAATCGACGGATTGTATGCGGCTGCTCTCAGTGTTTCCAATTCATAAATTTCTTTTGAAAATGTCTCTGGATCCTCTTGATAATATTCAGCGATATACTATTTAATTGAAAATGAACGAAACAAAAAAAAAGAAATGAATTATTTTTTTTAGCAATTTAAAATCTTAATGTGGCAGCTGGAAAAAATGTCGAACATTTTTTTGTATCATTTCCAAAACTGGCATGAAAAAAAAATCTCGAAATAACTTACGAGGTTTTTTCATTCGATTATTTTGTATGAATCATAGTGCACTTGACGTCACCGTGTTCAAAACAAATTCATATTATGAAGACATACACAATTACGCGTTAATTAGATTTTGTAGAACAGACAAATGAAATATTTCGAATGATTGTCGAAATCAAAATACATTGACTCACCTGTTTTAATCGTGAAAATGATGATTTCTGTTGTGTTTGCTTCAAATCAAAGTGAAGCATTGGCACTTTCGGTACAGCCTCCATAATTGTACTGTTCAAAACAGAGAAAAATAAATACACACTATACCATATATACCATATTTCTTTTGTCTTTATAATCAATTATTTATAGCTTACAACGATTTTACAATTGGCTCCGGTTTATTTTTCTGTTTTTCTCTCCAAATTCACCACACAATAATTAGATTTACTGATTTTGGCTTCCGCACGAGAAATTGAAAGACCAAAAAGAAAAAACGAAAAACAATTGCAATGTCCAAACGATAACAATAAAAATTTAATAAGTGCAAATAGTACTGTCACAAGTAACACATCATTCGATAAAAAAAGTAAATTAAAGAAAATATTGAGTTTTTGTTGTTGTGTTGTTTCTATCTGTAGTTATGTGAGTAATGCACCGATTTTGTCTACACTCTGATTCCAAAACAAATGCGGTTCGAATGTGTGTATGTTGGAATTATAGTATTAAAGGACAGATAATAATTAACAACGTCATTTCAAACAAGAATATTTCACTTTTCAATTGCAATGCATTTATAGTAGTTTGTCACACCGTATATGTATAAACACACGAACGAGATGTGTGAATGTTCATATCAACACACAATTGATCACCATAACCATAACAATACAGATGCACAATTATTTAGCTTACACTCATAAGTAAGACACGAATGACAACGTCATATGCGTATGTAGTAGTCGCCGTTCGAGTGTTTGCATCTAATTGCAAGCGTACGGCACAAACAATTTCATTGACAGTTATGCCTTGTTTCGGTGAATGTTTTCATTGATTCAATTTGTATGGCGACATAAGAATGGCAAAATTATCATTTTTCGAACTTTTTTCTTATTATTAGTTGTAAAAAAGGGACAATTCAATAAATGCTCATGTTCAATTGCAGCGTGATTTTTTTTTTCTACTTACGAGAGATAATTTTACAATCAACAAATTCATAACGTCACAAATTCAAAATGAAGCGCAATTGAAGTAACATTAACCGTGTGTATCAATTAAACCGCTTATACGTTCAATTTTATCGATTGAAATTTTGTTGTGTATTTAATGCGCTTATATTTATATGTATATATAGCTCAATCAATGCTCTGTGTTTAGATAAAATGAATTTACTCTTGTTCTATGTGTCACAATACATATACACATCATTCCGTCTCACATTTGTATGTGTGCACATACAGCGACATCTAATGATGATTTTTGGCGCCATTTCATTTTCAAATATTCTTATTTGTCGTATTTATGATATATCCCGTTTTGTAGCTAACCAAAGAGCAATAATACACTGATCAAAGTGGTAGAAATTAACTTTCATCCAAGGATTTTTGTTTCACAAGATATTCTTATGTAACAATTAAAAAATTAAAACAAATCGTTTTTCATGCTTTGGAAAAATGTCGGTCAGTTTTTATGGGCACCGCGCCACACCTCCACCTTTTTCTTCTAAGCTTGGTTCTTTGTATGTCGATTGTATATATCTGCTTAATAGTGAAAAAAAAAGTTCAAAATCAATTTTATTTTCACATTTATGTTTGCGATTTGTCGCATTGGTCGTTGTTACTTGTTCGGATGACAACAAATTTATCGCAGATAGTTCAACAAAAGAAACCCAACGTTGACAGTAATTACGAGTACATCGTTCAATATGAAGACTGGGAAAAGATCGTACTCACTCAGACCATGAGTTGAATGTAGGGAAAATGTAAATCAAATAATAAGATGAAAGTGATTGCTAATAAAATTGCTTGACTTTCTTAAATGATGACGAATCACATAATATCCTTACAAATGGTAAGATTTCAAGAATCTGTAAAAAGACCTCTATAAATAATTGAAAATGAATGATTTTTTGACGGGACATACTAAAGGATATTTTACTCAAAGTCAAAGTATGAGAAAAAGAGAGAGAGAGAGAGATAATTGAATAAAACAATGGCCGTCCGTTGATGGTTGGCTTTCATTTTCCAGATTACAATTAAATGAGTTGTATATTTATTCCTCTTTATTTGGTTTAATCATATAATTTTTCCATTCATTGTTATTTAATTACTTTCAATTAAAATTAGCTTCGTCGTTAAATTTATGTAACTTCATTTCTCATTTTGTTTTTAAATGTATATTCGGTAGAGTTTTTAATTAAAAAGAGTTATTTTGTTTTAAAGTACTGAATTATGAAATGGTGAGCGAAGAAAAATTCGTAAATGACAATTAGTTGATTAGTATTTTATGCACGGGTGTGTTCTGATGGATTCGAATTGATTTGTGTGTGTTTTTTGTTGTGCTTTTTTGCTTATCGGAGCAATTAAGTTCTACATAAATTGTGTTCTCCATTGATTTTCGGTTGTGTTTGTAGATAAAGCTTAAATGTTTTTTGTTTGTTTTAATCAAATAGTTGTTAATTGTGTGTTGGTAAATATTTTCTAAAATTTATATATAATTCTATATAGATTTTTTTTTTGTTCGGTTCATTTTGTTTTTGTTGTTTAATGTTTCGGTAAATATTTGATTTTATTTGTCGCTTGTGTGTTTGTGAGTAAATTATTGTTCTTTTATTTATTTAATTCGTCAAAATCTATCCAAATGAAAATTGTGTATGATTTTTTGTATAGATTTTGTCAAAAGTACACACAAGCTTCCGAAGGGTTTTGAGAATCGAACTCAATCAATCTTGTTTGTTTTTGTTTTGTTCATCTCATTTTTTTATTCCTCTAACAATCAAAAACAAAAACACAGACAAAAAACAATAAAAACGGCATTTAGTCAAGTAAATTTTTTCTACGATTAGATTAATTATTATATTCAATTTGATTTTTTTATTTTTTTTTTCCTTTAAATTATTACTATTATTATTAATATTTATTATTTAGTATTTTCTTGGTAATTTGTTCTAAATACTTTTAAATTGTTTGTTTTTTTTTTTAATTTTATTTTGTTCGTTATTTTTATTTGGAAGCATTGGTTTTCCTTGTTAGGTAAATTGTACAAATGGAACAATTCCATCATATAATCTTTCACACAGAGTTTTTTTCTATCGGTAATTAACTACTGGAAATCCTATACGATAATGATTCAAATAATTTCTGTATTATTTCAGATTAATTCAGAAAATGTGTGGAATGAAAGAGAATTTTTGAAAAAAGTTTCGAAAATCTCAAGTCAAGTCACATAATGTGTTTCTGTGAAACAAACTGTAGAAATTCAAAATAGTACAAACATTTTTCTGTAACATTTTATTAACAGGATTTTCAGTAATAAGTCACCGAACAAAAATATATCTGAATGTTAATCTTGTTTTTTTTTCTCTTTATCTTCTTCTTTTCGTTTGTGGTCGAAAAAAATAAGAAACGACCACATCAAAAACGTTCGAATAAATAAAAAGAAAAACAATTATTCGTACAATATAACAAAGAATAAATAGCAATTCTCAACGAAATCTTAGTTGAATAAATTAATAAAATTTGTCAAATGTCAAAGAAACAGAAAAAAGACCACATGCATCTACTGTGTAAGATTTGAAAAAAAAAAAGATTCCGAAACTGACATGAATTGATTTTCTATCTTTGTTTTTTGTTCTTTTGGTGTGTGTGTGTTTTTTGAGCAAATCGCTCCAGACTAAACTAAAAACTAGATACTTTTTTGTTGTTTTTTTTCTTTCTTGTAAATATTTGTTGTTCTTTTATTTTTTTGAAGTATATATTTCAGTTTTGGTCGTTGACTTACTATGTTGTGTTGTCTCATCTGGATAAATGGAAGAAATAGTTGCTATGAGCTAATAGGCTATTAGCATTTTAGTCTCATTATGTTTTTTTATTGATCGATTACAACGAAGTACAGGCTCGATTACAGATAAACTTCGTTCAGCTTTTGTTGTTCTATGACCATCTTCTCTCGTAACGTTTTCACATCATCGTCGATTCGAACAATTTGTCGAATTTTCTATCGTTTTTGATTGATGTGCAACAAATTAAGAAAGAAACAAAAACAAATTGGATTATTATAATCTTAAATTGTTAATGAAATGTAAGATTTTCTCTACTGCACAAGATCGAGATTATTATTCGTTTAAGTGCTGTAAACAGATAAATAAATAAATTAAAAGTCTGAATCAATATTTACCGCAGCTCTGTCACCAGGAGTCTTAAACCACAACCAAAGCATGTAACCAGGTATGCATAACATCGATGACAAGGCTGTAAACCATCCGAATGCATGAGCCCAAGGTGGATATTCATAGCTTAAGTATTTGATCGGTTTCCATTGGACAATGTTGAAAATGAACACGGACTGCAAACACAAATAGATTGCGAAGATTTCAGTATTTATACGAGCAAAAAAGTGGAAGTGACTCTCAATTTATGCTGAATCTTCCAATTTAATAAATAATTTAGCTCTTTTTTCACTGAAAAGATTATAAATGTTTCATAAAAGCATACCACACAAATGAATGGAGTTGTATAGCACCAGCAGAATTTCCAGAATTTCATTGGATAATATCCAATCATTTCCTTGATACCATCGTAGAAGCGATCAACTCCAAATGCCCAAGAAATCGATACACATTCGAAGAATATTAGGAAGAGCAAGCAAAAACCGCTAACCGCATATTGGTCCAAAATTTGGAAGACATACATTCCGCCCTAGTAAATAATAATAAGATGAAATTTCATCAAAATTATTCAAATAAATCGATGAGGCCGATTTGAATGTGAGACTTCTACTGCGATTTCTGCCAAAATCTTGGCAAAAGTTTCACATTCATTTTCGGACAATTTATTCTAATTTGTTTGGATATAGACTTTTCGGATTTTGTTCCTCTCTGAGACATTTTTTGTCTTATGTCTTAATTTGATAGTTTATGGGTTTCTACTTCAGAAACTCAAATCACGGATGCAGACACATTGTAGAGAAACAAACTATTTTCAAATTATAATTTTGGTTGAAGACATTTGAACAAAATCCGATAATTCAATATTTAGAATTATTGAAATAAATTTAAAGCGCAACATACCTGTGTGATACATGTCAGACCAACTAAATAGCTGAGGAAGCAAACGATTGCAATGAACACCTCCTTGCGACGACGAAGTAGTCGTGGCCATTCGTCGATGACGGCCGTAATAAAACCTTCCATGGTACAGAATTGTGAGTCCAAACCGATTAGTAGCAACATAAAGAAGAACAAGCACGCCCAGATTGGTGAGCCGGGCAATTGTAGAACAGCGGATGGATAGGCCAAGAATGCTAGACCAGGACCAGATTGTGCCACATCAGCTACTGATCGTTGTTGCTCGTGTGCCATAAAACCGACCACGGAGAAAATGACAAATCCAGCAAACATACTTGTACTTGAATTCACTGTGCACACAATCAATGCATCCCTATTTTGTTTTAATCAATTAATGCAATTATCAAATTTTTTGTAATGTTTCGACTTAAAACCTTTCAACGACAACAGAAAAATGTACATACTTATAAACATTGTTCGTAAATTTATTATAGCTGCCCAAAGCAACCAATGTACCAAGACCCAATCCATATGAGAAGAAGATCTGAGTAACGGCATCGATCCACACCTAACCCAAGCAATAACAAACCAACCCATTAAAGCTATAAACTGAAAAATTGAATGTACATTTTGTGTGCGATCTATTTTACCTGTGCTTCCGTTAACTTCGAAAAGTTCGGTATAACGTAGAATTTAATTCCTTCAATGGCACCTGGTAATGTTATTCCACGAATCAACAATATTGTCAATAAAAAGTATGGGAACAATGCGGTAAAGTAGACAACTTTTCCAGTCCACTTGACACCTTTCCAAATGCAGAAGTAGCACATAATCCAAACAACCAAAAGCGTTGCGGCCAATTCCCAACGAATACCACCAACTTCTTCGATACCGCTCGAAATTTGCAATGCACGACGTCTGATTGATTATGATAAATTGAAAGAGAGCATATGTGTGCGTGAACAATATGAATTTGATTGATTAAACAAACAAAAAATGAAACCTACTCCCAGAACTCTTTAACCGGATCGGTTAGTTCGGTGTTGGTAAAATTCGATCCAGCTAATGAACACATTTTGACGGTTTCTTGGGCAGTTGTATTGAAGGGGATCGAACTATTCCAACAAAGTAATGAATTTCGTTCGTATGGATTAACGCAAGTCCTTGTATTCCACAAATTATTGCATGTACGCCATGGAACATCTACGCACCGGAATGGTATAGCAGAGAAAATATCAACATTAATATCAATAATTCAATGTCGAGTACATTGACACCGGATTAATTTGTAATGATTGTGAGTATTACCTGAACGAAGCGACATGAAGAAATAAAATATTGCCCAAGCTAAAATAACGATGTAGTATACGTTCATCCAGCATGACATCACGGCAGCAGCGTATCCAATTCCTGTGCGTTGTACATTGTACAAATGACAATTCAAATATGTTAAACATCAAAAACAACAACGAAATTGAGCAAAAAATGTAATCAGGAGCCATAATATTCTTCCGGTGTCAGACTCTCGTTTCTCTCCTTCACTGGTTATCATTGTTTTTTCTTTCATCGTTTGGAATGAACAGAACAGTTGTGTGCGTTGTGAATTTCACACGTGTCACAAGTGAATAATAGACGAAGTCATTCAATTACATGAAACGCGATGAAATTCATCTATGTACCATCGACAAAACATGATTAAAAACACATCATATTCGATATTGCTATGATGTGCGTGGAATTTTCAATTAAACATTTTATATTCTAAGCATACATGGCCACAAGGGGAAGGGGTGCATTGCGATTGGAGTGTAGAGTGATATAATTACTTCACACCAAATTGAAATGCGTTCATACAGAAGACATGCTTGTTTTGTCAATTCAGGTACTCACTCTTAGAAAATACAGATGACAAAATGAAACGTAAACCGAGTTAAATTGCATTATAATATAATATATGACAAAATACAGTGCTTAGGGCCAAGTTTTCCCTTCTGAGATTTATTTTGTCCAATGCCATAATTTGACATTTTTGTGAATTAACTAAGAGCGTATCCATAATTGGAGTTTTATAGCAGTAACAGATATTTACTTCGCTCTCACCAGACATTATATTGAGATATTTTCAGCCAGATATCGTCAGGAGTTGATATGGAGTGAAAACGATAAAAGTGATTGTGGCAATGTAAGTGTAATTATAGCCATAACAATCACTTCTATTGTTTTCACTCAATTTCAGCTCCTGACGATATCTGGCTGAAAATATCTCAATATAATGTCTGGCTCTCACTCATAGATCTGGGTTCAAATCACTGTAGTTTCTCATGTATGAAAGAAATCACATGACAAAATGCAATTTTACTCTGTTTGCATTTGATTTTGTCATCTGTATTTTCTAGTAGCAGAAATGAAAATGTGATTTTTATATCCATTTTCCGTCAGAATTAGCTTGAATGTGAAATTAGCCGAAATAAATTTTGGAATTTAATATAATTGTTACATGTAACCTGTTTCCCATTGGAAGGACGGAATCGCTTGTATTCAAACAAAAATGTCAATTATTTCCGGATTTTATACATGATATACGTTGTTTTATGCGCCAATTTCACCAATGTAAGGCCCATGGACTTAAATCCGATTATTTCGATTAACTTGATAAAGCGAAACGAATTCAAATTGATGCTCTCTTGATATTTGTGCAGGTTTTTCTCCGAGATAATTTGATTTTAAATTTAAAATAGAAACGAGAGCCTGTTTTTGACTAGGGGTTAGACACTGGGAATCATAATCGGTATAATCTTAGATGATTTTTTTTTGTTATGTTTATAAGAAAATATTGCTATGTGTGTTCCGCCATCTTGGAATCGTGGAATCGTAAGAATCTTCAAAATATAAAATTCGCCTCTTAACCCCAAAATCATCGTGAAAGTTATGTTAATCAAATGAATAAAAAATAAAAAATAAAATAGAGAAGCTACCAAAAGAGTGAAATGTTCTGGTTTACCTTTGAAGATAGGTGCAATTTTGAATACACCTAAACCGCCTATCGTTAGCATTTGTCCTAGTGCCAATTCCATAAAAAACATCGGTATACCAGCTAATGTCAGCGTTATAAAGTACGGAACTAAAAATGCACCGCCACCATTTTTATAGCAAAGATAAGGGAAACGCCATACGTTGCCCAGACCAATAGCCAAACCGACCACTGACAATATGAAATCTAGTTTGTTTGACCATGATCCTCGATCTGGCAGTGCTACCTTAATTTTCTGTGAGTTGAAAGAATATGAAAGAGAAAAAAAAAACAATGATAGTTATTATTATTATGACAAAAAAATGGATGAACAATGGTTTGGTTTTGACGAGACTCTTGCGTCACCGGAGCAAAAATGCAATGGTTCAAAGTGACATTCACAAAGAATTTTAAAAGCATAAAAAAGGAAACGTTTTCAAGCATGGGAATTTGCATGGTTGAAATTGCTTGCATTGAGATCAGACATTAGGCTCGAGCTATGCATATAGCGGCTGCTATTTTATAGGTGCTATTCATAGGCGCTATTTGATTCGTGTGCTGTGTGTAACACCGAGTAGGAATATCGTAGCCTACGATTCTTTTGTACATTCGAATGTGAGTACAAGAGAGATGTAGAAAATAACGCACAATATGCATAAATGAATTAAAATGAGATAAATAGCGCCTATGAATAGCAGCTATGAAATAGCAGCCGCTATATCCATAGCTCAAACCTAATGTCTGATTGAGATAAATGTGAAATTGAAATGAATTCTTCGCTTTGCTTGTCTGTCTAATCGGTTTGCTTTACATTTTTTTGACAAGAAAAGGGAGAGGGTGAATCTTTATTTTTTTTCTTTCAAATATGAAATGTAAAGTACGTTTTTTTTTTTTTTTTGTCATTGTTAAATTGTGCTATGTATGTATTTTTTTTATGTCAATATGAATACATATAAAATGCAATAAAACAAGTTTAAGAGGTTTTTTCGGTGCTACAATTGTATCAGTGTTTAAATATTCAAAATGATGTTTTCACAGTTGAACAATAGGGTTGAGCCACAGGGATTCAAAGATATAAATTTTGTCGGTTGTTGGATGTGGACGAATTCAGGTGCATATTGATGATGGAAAATATAAAATTTGTTGAATCATATAAAAAATACTAATTAAATGCAATGAATCAAAGTTGTGTGTATGCTGGGTGATCAATGCGTGCCTTCGCATTCATAACAATAAATTGCACACTCAGGCCACATAATTTATCGAAATGAATTACATTTAAGCAAGTTCATCCGAAACAAATAAAATGTATAATAAAAAAAATAAGCGTATGGCAGAGAGATTATGCTCTCGTACAACCCCGCGTGCATACACAAGATAGAATGGAACGAGGCACGGGATTGATAATGATGGTGCTGCTGCTGCCGCTGCTACTGTTGTTTTAAAGAGGTATCGCCGAGTTGTTTCTGATTGCAATTGTTTGTGGCTGATATAGAATGGGTTGTAAAACGGGATAAATTGAATCTGTTAAAATGGGCAACAAGAAGAGAGCACATGTGAATGTAACACGAAATGGGTGTATGGTACGCGTAGTGCGCCATTGGATTTGTGATATGTGAGATTCAAAACGGGTTCAACATGGAAATGATGCTTATGTGCCGTTTATTTTCGTTCGATTCAATTTAAAGTGTAATTTATCTTTGTGTGTGCATGAGTTGTATTTGGCGCGTGTGTATGTGTATATAATATGTGCTTATATTAAATTTGTGTGTGTGCCATTCTATTGAAGGCACATTTAACAAATATCATCATATCAAAATTGTGCTGAATGTTTGAGTGAATATTGAATGATATGTGTCGTTTACAATAAATGGCAATAATAGTGCAAGCTTCGATGATTTGTGCGCTCTCGAAGTGCAGAAAATTAAAATGAACTATTATGCCAGCGGCCAACAGTCATTCTCTTTCTTTCGTTTTGTATCTCTGTCCCTTGTTTTTCAGTTGTATGCTTTATCAAAATGTGACATGAATTGAAATCCAAAATAATGAAAATTACCTTATCTTGTTGCTTTTCCTGAGTATGAGCATCTGAAGGGTTCCGTAATGCCGGCAATTCAATTGATTCATCCGGCGCTAATGATGATTTATGATGTATTGTCTCATCCAAACATGATACAGATGTCGCACCCTCTGTCATTTTGAAGCTTATATAGAAACGCTGCTTTTATTACTGCTGCTACTATTCTTCGTCTTCTTCTTTTTCTTCTTTACTACTGCCTATCGTGTATGTATTGTATTTGGAGTTTTTCGCGCGCGTTTTTCTTCGATTTAAAGATCTTGAAAGATTTTGTGCGTGGTGGCTCAAGCAGCCTATTCGAGTTTCGTACGTTTCTTCTTTGCTTTTGTGTTATTTTCTAATAGCTTTTGCTCCGACTATATTCCCTTATATCTCCGAGCACCACGAATGTGTTTTATTGCTTTTTCGAGCTCTAAAACGTAGTTGCTTTTATATGATTTGTATGATGCGCGTGCGTGCTTATGTGCGTTATACTTATTCCCGTTCCGTTTTTTCTTTTCTTCTCTCTTTATATTTTGAAAACGATGAGGATTTTCGTTCCGCTCGTTTTTGTGTTCCACAAATTCCACAGTTTCTTAGTGATATGCTGTTATTCGATATTGTGTATTGCTGAATTGATGATGATGATGATGATTTGGATAATTTTTTTTTTTTTTTCAGAAAATTCAAGCACACTTCAAAATCCGCCAAATCTTCCGAATCCGAAATAGGGGATATGTTTTTGTTTACTAAATTATATATAAATTCTTATATATATTTATTTATATATCGATATGATGTTTGTGCGTTTCGTTGGTGTCTTCGACGTTTATTGTCGTTTATTTTATAAACTTAGCTCCTCCTCTTTGTAATCACACTTGATTCTCTTTCATTCGCTATCGGATTCTCTATATGTCTCAATTACAGTCGCATGAGATGTATTCCAGTTGGCCAAAGAGTGTTAGATCCTGGTTGGATTCTATTGGTGATTCATGTGACAACACGGAATAGATGAGAAAAAGACAAAGAAATGAATAGATAAAGTTAATGCGTTTATTTTAAGCGTATTGTTAAAAGTTTTTCATCATATTTATTGATATTGGTTGGTGTTAAAAAGTGTTAAAATTACGTATTTAACACACTCAAATATAGAATGTAATTGCATTTTGACACCAGACTCGCTTCAATTTTTGCTTGAGCATTTGGTTTTAATGCGATGCCATTAAATTTACATTTGACAATAGATGATTAGAAACGTTTTTTCGAGTTATATTTTCATTTATCACAACCACACAATAGTCGAGTGAGTTTCTTGCAATATGTGGTGGGCTCTGTGCTCGATACAACGATTCCAAAAAGCACACAGCACGCTGATTGAAAACGACTGCAATAGAAATGAGATTGCAAAAAGTGAACGAAAAGGAACATAGTGAATGGGTAAAAGCAAAAATTATTTCGATTTAATTCTTCTGTACTTCGAATTTGAGTCTATTCCCTTTTTTTATTTCTTCTTTCGTTGAAATTGGAAAAAAAGGTTTCAAAGGGATATCTTTTTTATGCCCATTTTTTCTTTCTTGTTTTTATATCTTTTTTCTTTTCCAATATTACATATCCTTCAGTGGATAAGAAACAAATAAATCATTTATTTGATGTTTGACTCTTTGAATGAAATTGGTTCGTATTTAAATCGATTTGTTATTTGCGTTTGAATTTATCCAAAGACTCCAATCATTGTAATATTATGAACATTCATTTAATGCCAAAGATTTTCTTAGTATACTTCACATCTCTCTCTCTCCCTATCTCTCTCTCTCTCTCTCTTTCATTCACTCTGACTTTGTTTCCTCTTCAATAAATAACAATCGCATTTAACCCGAACATTATGCTATTCAGATTAAACTACCTTTAATCATACGGCCAGGAATCTAGGCATTATTTTATGTGCCAGTTCATTTGGATTCATGCTTTGACTATTAATTACCGTAAATAACAATGACATAATGACGTCTAATTTTGAATATACACCATCGTATAGTCGAGGGCATGTAATCCGACTAATTTTTCTTTGTACCCGGGGGAATTTCGAAACAATTTTCTCGTAAACTTGTCAGGGGTGTGATTTAAAATGAACTACATTTTAAGAGTAAAATTGAAATCAACCTTGAGTATGCCGAATTTTTTCTAATCAAAATCTTGATTGGTTTGTTTCAATTTTTTCTACTATGTGATAATTGTGTGCTTTTTATTTGTAGTGGGTTTTTATGGAAAATCAATTTTGCACACTCATGAAATGCTAATATCCAAAAAAGGTGTCTGAAATTCTAAGAAAATGCAAGCACATCATTTTAATGGCATGAGATTATATTTTTGGGTGACTTGGTGTTTAGATTCTGAAGTTATAGCTATAACTAGAAGAAACAATGACAAGCTAAATTAGTATTATCGCCCGCTGCTAAGCCCCCTTGAGTGCGTAAGCACAGTAAAGTGATGATGTTTTACACAATTTTCATTTTCATTCTCGTTTTCATCAATTACCTTCAGACCGGAACAAGAGCCATATTTTTTTTGTACTGAATGAGTCGCAATAGAGGAAGGGAAAATTTCTTGGTAAAAAAAACAGGATGAAAAGATGATAAAACAATTGCTATTCGATACATTTACCACAAAAAAAAGGCAGTTGGGATTCGATATATTTTCCGCAGAAAAAAAAGCAGTTAGAATGCGATACTAGTCATGTCAATTCAATTTGGGTAAAAGAAAAAAAAACACGGTAGCCGGATAGAATGTGTATCTTTTGAGAATATGAGGGTGCAAAAAGTGTGTTGTATATTTGCCGTGTGAAAAAGCTCATCTGTTCAGTTAAGCGCAAATGAAAAGACGGAATGTTTTCGAATTTATCTCTGAGTCATTGAATGAATGAAAAGGCAGACAGGCGTTCGCAAGAAGATAAATAAATGTTGGTTACCAGACAAACCGTTCATCGGTTCAATCATATCAAATGTAGTGCACACAATGGTTTTGCGTTATCCATTGTTTAGATGATCTATTGATATAATAAAGAAGATTGGTGCATAATGACCGTCATTTCAAGTGATTTTTATTCGCGTGCTGCTCATTTCGGACACCATCTGAATAGAAGATCAGATGAATGGCGAATGTGCAAATAGCCAAAAAGAGACCAAATCTATATCATTTTATTTTAAAACAAAAGGCATAGAGAAAACGAAACGATTCTAGTTGAAACAAATTTTGATGGTGTGTGATGATCACTTTAACTAGAGATGTCCGGTTTCGGATGCTTGAGCGTGTGAGCGTGCGCACATAGAACAACAGTTACAATTCCGATGTACATATGACGCGTTCGCAACTATGTATACTGAAATGTGGTTTGGTTGTCATTTGGTTGTTAAATAATGGTTGATATGCGTTTTTAGATTACGATAAACGATGAATTAAAGATAATAATATTTCCATTCACGTTTGGTTATTAGAGTCATTCATTCGGAACTCGCAGCATAAACTAAATCTCTCATTCATTCGGTCGTTCGTTTGTTCTGTCCTTCCACTCTCATTCAGATGAACATTCGTTCATCGTTGGTTTGGTGTTGTTCGTGCGTTATGGCATTTCAGTTTGTAGTTTATCTCTGTCGAAATCGGATGCTATCGCATCGTTCGTTGTCGCACACACATCATTTCGCACATGAGTGCATTGATAGCTAAGCGTGTGTCGTTTTGGGCTGACTTTTTTTTCTCTCGTTGTTGATATATTTCGTTTGGATTTCATTAATTCCCATGCTCTTTGTTTTCATTTCGTAAATTGATAGCGACTGGGGAGTTTGCTCTTTGGCCACAAATGTACACATACCACAACATACTCTCAAAAATGTCACCAACACACGTTCATATGTAAACGTACACATCGAATATATTCGGATTCGATGAATATGTTCGACCACAAAACAAACGAAATTCGCAATAGTCTAAGTTCAGTTGCTTCTTCGTTGGTTCGTTAGTGCTGCTGTTTCTGTCACTGATGTTTGCTGTTATAAGTTGATGTTATTACCAATTTTTATGATGTTCTTTCGGCATCATCTCGTCAATCATGTTATCAGTTAATATGGAATTGAATATGTGTATGTGTGTGTGTGTTATGTTTTGATACATCCGCAGCAGCATGGCAACTACACAACTACTGTGCTCTATGGGTATTTTGAAGGGCTCTTTACTGATTTGATAACATGATCAACGTGTCAACTTTTATAACATATGTATCCGTGCAAGTGATGATATCTCACTCTCATTTTTTTCAATATTTATCGTTTTCCCCTTCTCCCTCTAGTTTTTTTTTGTTGCAAATTTTCCATACGTGAAATGATGTTCCCACCAACTCTCTCATTATGGTGATTTCAGTGTGTTTTCTGCACCGTACACTTGTCAAATAAGTGCGTGTATACCGTCATCATTATGATTTTAGTTAAAAAAAATTATATTTAATATTCACATTCGCCAGACACATGCATCCATTCCATTCGGAATAGGCAACTGTAATTCCTCTTGAACGGCAACAGCACCCAAGTAGAGAGACATGAAGAAATGATATTTTTTCGCAGTTTCCAAGGATATTTCCTTTTTTTATTCTTACTGTCGCTGATTTTGATAAAGTAATAGCATTTTTATCGTAAATAGTCAAGCGAGAAGAAAAGTTGACAGAAACAGAGTGGCAAATTATCTATAAAGTTGATTTTTTTTCGGTTCTGTGATGGCTTTTTTGCCATCAGGCATTTTCTGGTGACTGATAATCAACGCTGTTTTTATGAGTTTTTTTTTACTTTGCATTATTTTTTGGCCACCATCGTTATGTTATGCGAGATAAGACTTCAATTTCAAGCATAAATAATTTCAAAATTATTTTCGTAAAAAAAACCGATTTATTAGTTGGTCGTTTTCGCTGTGAATCGATTTGTTCTTGACTTGTAATAAATAAACCGAAAAAAAAAGAATTCAATTGAGCGCAACAACTGGTTCAATTTCATTTCATTTTACACTAATTAAATCTCATTAATCAGTTTAACTGTTGTAATTGCAATTACTTGAAATATTATGCATGTGTGGCTTGGCGCGTACATCATTTAACTGAAATTGGACCTTCGTTCCAAATACAACGAAAAAAAAAACGTTGAAGAAGTTGTTCGTTTAAAATGTATAACGAACGAAAGATATTCTGAACTTGAAAATGGATGAACTGTACTGTTTTTGTTTGGTCGTTGGATGCTGTCGTTGCTTCTCTGGTTTGTTGTGAATTTAATTTGGTTTGGCGCTCGAACAAAAGACGATGCAAAAACGTGTGGAAAAACGAAAATGTGAAAAACCCAGGCACTAACCAAGTTTGTTTTACATACACAAAACACAGATACACTCAATTCAAATTCTCTCTCACCCACACTCTCTTCACTCACTCTCTCTCTATCTCTGCATATCTATCTATTCACCTTTACCTTTTTCGCGCTCCCTCTCTGTTTCTCTCTTTCTGATTTTTTTTTGTACAAAACTAGAAATCGAAAAAGTTTTTTTCCTTTCTTCCCGCTTCCTTTTCGCCTTTATTTCAGCCAAGCGATTTAGATTGGATACAAGAAAAACAATTGTGAGTAAGGAACAAATGAAAAAAACAAACAAACGAACAAATGCCACCACAAAACAAACAAATATACAATGCGAAGAAAGGGAGAAAATGAGAGGAAATAAAAACAAACGGCGCACCAAACAAACTGTATTGCTCAGGATATGCACAACTTAAAGCGAAAACTGTTTTATTGCAAAGTAAATTCGCGCGCTTCGTTGCAGATGGCAACATCGACCTTTTATACCCACGATAAAATGCATTAAATACTCTATATATTTTCTTGTTTTGTTTTTCTTGCTTGAAAAATGTTTTTCAAATGGTGTTTGAGTCTGTTTTTTATTTTATAAACAATTTTTCCTCTTTAAATAACACGTTGTGTTATGGACCTAACGGTCCGAAATATTTTTTCCTTTTCGTTTTAAAACTATGATTTCAAAAAAAAAAAAAAATCAAAAAAATGCGCGAAACTTAAACGTTTGCGAATTAAGGAACAACACACGTTTTCTATTCGATAATAAAATTCTATTAAATACAATGTTGTTTTGTATTGTTGTTTCGGTTCAATGGTACGTACAGAGTCACGTTCTGTTTTCCTCTCGAAATAACAACGGAAAAAAGCAAAAAAAAATCTTTGCTGTGCTGCTGCTTTTACTACACAGAGACTCCGGTTTATACACTTCTAACACTTTTGGTGGTTGTTGAGCAACTGAAATCCGATTCGATTTTGATTTCCATAATCAGATGCCTCTCTGTGCGAAAGTGTACCAGTGGCAATATATACCGTTGAGCTCACACATTCACTCTCTTTACGATGCTCACAAAATATATAGATATACTATGTATTGCTTACGCTGACTATGAGATATATATATATACGGGAATGAAAACAATGCTCTCTCGTACACACGGTGTACAACGCACAACGAATTGCAACAGTAGCAAAATGCGCGCCAATCGAAACACATTGGATGAAGCAACAGAGAGCAACAGCAACAGCAACAGCAACAGTGAACACACACACACACGCACAATGTTCTCCAAATAAACGGAGGGAAAATCATTTGATATGGGGAACCACAATGAAAATGGTCCCCGTTGTAAACAGACAAAACATGGAACAACATCGAAAGAGAAAGCGAAGAAGGAGGCAAAAAACAAGAACCGAGCAACAGAAGGAAAATGCTGAAAGGCAATCCATATATCGTAGTAAATTTCTCGCATTTATCTTGATATTATTCGGGAAAAAAAATACCCGGGGTAGAGATCGAAGCAGTACAAACATTACTTGCAGGCAATGTGGTGTATGCTAGGGATGGCCGAACAATTTTACGTTTACATACACACATCAAATGCCAATGGAGATACTAGAATACACGCATTTTCATATACAATGCTGCTTGTTGAACTTTTTCGGGAGTGTGAATTGTAATTTTTTCTGTGATTTGTTTGTTTCCCTCTCTCTCTCTTCCACTCTCTGAATTTCAACCACCAATTTTTTTTGCACCCAAACTCTCACATTAGCCACAACAAATTCGTTTTTTTTTACTTATTTCATCGTACTGTTCGTTGCTGTTTTTTTGCCATCATCATGGTCCTTCATTCATTTGTCAGACTCTAATTTTTTTTCTTGATAATTTCACTGCCGTTTTCTATCTTTGAGGAGGTTTTTTATTCTCTTTTATCTTCTTTGGTATTCTCGGTGTTTTTGTTATTTGTCAGATATACGTATGAAATTTGCGTGCGCCTACAGAGAAATGTTAACATAAAAAGCTATGTACGTGGAAGATGAAGCATCGTTTAATTCTCTTTGAAATGAGCTTGCGTAAAAATGAACAAAACCGATGAATCTAGGCAATGAATGTGTGTTATATATGCTGCGGGTATATAACAATCATTTTACCGACTGATTCACTTATTCAGTGTGAAATGTCTGATTTTACGCGTAAAAATAAGCAAAAAACATTCGTACCAACGAAACCCCAAGCACATCAAAATTGCCTGTTCGCTTACTCTCTCTCTCTCTTTCTCGCTCATTTGGATTTAAAAAGGAGCACATGTTCCGTAAACTCGATAGAGACGTACAACTTTACGTGCGCATTACAAAGAAAAAGGATGCGTGTGCGATAGAGAAAACGAGTAATTCCTTGCTAAATTAACGTACACCAAAATCCAGCAACGACAAAAACTGATGACTACTGATGGTTGCCATTCAGCTTTAATTTGTGATTGTATATCGAATTGTTGTGTATGTTGTTTGCATTTTCTTTTTTGGTCTGTTTGCGACAACTGATTGCCTTCATACACATTCTTTCATTGGAAAATTTGAAGCAGTCGTGCGTTTCGATGAATTTATATCGAATGGAAATCATAGCATTGTTGATGATGCTGGTGTTAGTGATGATGGTGCTATATCAAACTTCATTTATAGCCAAAATTACCCGCAATTGGTAACAATAGGCATCAGAGTGTGAGTGAAAGAGAACTGTTGAACAGTATGCTGTCACTATTTAATGTAACGCAGCAAATGAGCTAATTAAATTCGACAGAAAAACACACCACGTCCACATCAAATTTACCAGAAATATTGGAAATGTGTGGCAAATCTCTTTGGCCCCTCATGCCTTTGTGTGTGTGCATGTATTTTATATTCTCCGAAAAATATCCTGGTTCACCCACACACTGGTTTATTCATTCTTCTTGGATGCTTTTTGCCCGCTGATTCTATTGTTTGGTATTATTTTTACGTGTCGAATCGACGTGTGCCGAGGAGCAGAAATTTTAATTGACATTTTTTCTCTGACCATTCAAAAGCGATCGAGTCAAGTGTACTCGGTTAGTCTGCATGTGTATGTTGATTGCCACTGAACAGTTCCACGTTCTTAACACGTTTTTGTTGCCCGTTCGTTCACCATACACAAACACAAACACACACACGAACCCATCACATCGTCGACGGATGAATGACTTGAAATCTTATTCTCGTTGGTTTATCCGGTGGTTCGCCCGCACGAGTTATCGTTCTTTCTTCTCGCTATTTTGTGCGCTTCCTTTTTTTCTGTTTATTCTTTCTACCCTCCGTTCACAAATAACTCACATTTCTGCGCCATTTCCCCAAAAGAAGATTTATTTGGTAAATTTATTTCAATAATATTGAAAAGAAAACAAAGAAGACGGAGGAAAAGAACGAAGAATGAAAAACGGCTGACATAATTTTTAAGGGCAAGGGATCAGGTGGTAAAATGATATGAAATGGCACAACGCTGAAAAGCAACGGCAAGAAGAATCTAGCGCGTGCATATTTTTTTATTGGCACTGTGTGAATAGCTATTTAAACATGGCAAGCCGAATGACGACGATGATGAGAGACTTTTCGATTAATTTTTGTTCCATTGTTTTGTTCTTCTACACCAATATTTGTATTGATTTTTATCGAAACAAAATATAATCTTCTGATCACACAACACACACATTGTATTTTTTGATGTCAAAAATATAAATTACCATCAAAATATCAAATTTATGTGTATGTGTCCATGTTTGCAATTGCCAGTCATAAAATGATTTTTACCGTTTGCAGCACGTGGCCCGGTAATAAAAATCGAATATTCGAGAAATCTCTTATTTTCGATAGCGCCGTGCGAGCTGTGTACACTTCAGATTTGTGAACAATGTGGGAAAAAACTGTTGAAGTTTGCTCGATTGTGATAGAACATTGGTATTGCCATCAACCGAAAACAAGCCAATCTCTAACTAAAACAGATAACAATCGTATTAAAATATCCTTTACCAAGCTTTTCACAAGAGGATTTTTCTTTTGTTGCAAACCAGAAACTGATTTCGATGGATTTATTTTGTCTAATTTATAAAATCAATTCAATCACAATGTATGGCCTATTGTTTAAGCTGCTCTCTTGTCATGTACGACGTTACCATTTTGAAACTGTACACATGTTTGAAGTAGAAAATGGCAATTGTCCGAACGAAATGAAATTGTTCAAAAGGTTTAAATGTATAAAAACCAATAGAAAAAGGGAAAAAAAGAAGAGAACCGAAGGTAGATATAACAATGAACACCCATATGCTGCCTGTATGTCATACACTTAAAATGTAACAATATACGCATAAGAATAGGTCGAACCATCAGGCGAGTGTAACGGATTTTCGTTTTTCATTTCCATGTGGAAATGCTTTTACTATAACACAAGTTACAAACATTTGTGAGCTACTTTTGTGCATAAATACATAATAATAATAATATATATTTTGTAATGTATACGAATGAGACACATACATTTTTCTCGATTTCATTTTGGAATTGTGTGTGTAAAATGGAAATGGCATCAGTAGAAGTAGAAAAAAAGAGAATACGAATGCCTGAAAAAATGCGTACAATAAAAACAAGAAATGGGATAAAAAAAAGCATCAAGAGAATGAGTTTGTTTATATGTCGTATTCATAGAATGACATGTACATAAAATAGGATCATTTCATTTACTTATGTCGCACAAATTTCAAAGTAATGAACGCAACATCAATATACAAGCATACCGTCAAAACCATTCACGACTTGTGTATTCTCTGCTATTAGAACTTTGTCCACGAACGAAACCATGAGAAGATCACAGCATTCAGAGTTCGCACAAAGTATAGTGAAGAAGAAAAAAACACAATGGCCAGAAAAATACACACAGAAAATTCCGACGAATTTCAAGCAAAACCCCGGACGAACATTGCAATTGAAGTGCTTGAGATGTACAGTCGATCCTTTAAGATTATATAGAAAATTTTCAACGTAAACGGGAAATTTCATTCTTTTTACTAGCTAAAATTGTCATATACTTGAATAGATTCATTTTTTGGATAGTTTTATTAGTGTGTCCAACAAATGTGATCATCAGAAGTATGATACTTATCCTCTTATACGGAATAATCAATCACTTTCATATTAATTACTTAAGACCAGAATTGACGAAATTATTTCCCACATAAAAGTAATTTCAAATTTATAACTAATTGCAAACTAAAACAGTATTTTCGAACATTTTGGCTCCTCCAGGTCATTGGAGTGTTCCTGCTGTAGGATAAACACTTGTCTTAAAAAGTTCACTTACACAGCAAATCTAGTGAAAGTTGGTGTTAAGTTTTTTTGAGTGTAAATATAAGTATATGAAGATAGAAAAAAAACCGAAACGAACAAATGATATGAAGGAAAAACCCTAATGCAACAAAAATAATGCTCGTCGAACACACATGTTGTCAAAGAAAATGAAAAAAAAGAGCGTTAAAAAAGAAACGAAAGTTGGGAGTGAGAGAGAAAAGCTAACAGCACCAGCGGCAGCAGCAGCAGTAGCAGCAAAAGAAGAAGCCCATATGTTTCTGTATGGTTCTCGTGCTTGTAAGCGTTGAATAAATGGTTTTGTTATTATCTTCATTTTCCCTTTTCCCAGTTTGTTGATGTGCTTCCCTTTTCTCAATCAGCCCGCAGTTTTCGTCGTCGTTGTTGTTGTTGCTTGTTTCGATGTATTCAAAAACTTTGTTCATCATTTTTCTATATGTACATCGGCCAAAGAAACACACACACAATGAACACGAGCAAAAAAAAAAAAACTTTCGAAGCAGCATCTTCGTGCTCGAAACAGAAAATAAATACAATATGCGATAAAATCGAAAGCCGATTCCCAAAACTCGCACTCTCTATCTCTCTCTCACACTTACACACAGATTCTATTT